AGCTAACTTAATAATAATCCTTTTCCGCTGTTTCATAAATTTACATGGAAATTCAAAGAACGAATAATACTTCGTTTGAAGCATAATTTGAGTTGTACCTTAAACAATTACGCAGGGTACAAACATTAACTCTCCGATATTTAAATTCCTAGAGTAACTAGGACTTAACTTCCAAATGAGTTTTTCCTCGATGTCACTGACTAGCACTTGTGTAAGCGCATTCTGTTGCTCTTGTTCTAAGGCTAAATTTAGATGGCAGTGTTGCTTGCACTTGATGTTTTTGGACTGTAACGCGGACGTTGCTATTTTGGAATTTTGTATTGAAGAAAAGTTTGCGCCGGTTCCACGGTCAATGCAACACCACACCGTGCTGCACATCAACATTAATCGATTCCTACGACGAAACAGGTCAAGTCAATTTTAATAAAGAAACGTACAGACCTACTGTATCAAACAGGTTCGCTATTGTGTTTGTTCGTCATCTCTCAAACTAAAGTACATAAATCAGTATAAGGAACAAAAACCAAGCTACTACAGCTACTGTGTCGATAGTTCCCGTTACGAGTATGTTCAATTGTTTGGCACAAGTCCTTTCTTTACTCTGATCCTGCTAATGATTTTCTCTCTTCACTATAACATAAATTCTTTAAGATTAAAACCCGCCACTAACGGTTTTAAGTCGTATATAAATAGTATGTTTCCAGGTTGTGCAAACGTTTTCACTTCCGGGACGTTTAATTCACAAGATGAACTTGCTACGTTTTTGTGACCACCATGAACTTTTTTTATTATCTGTCATAACGAAAACGTAATCATCTCGTTATAACCGATAAGAATAAATCAAAATGCAGAACAACACGCTGATGGACTCGACAACAGATGGTTTTATCACATCGATCGAAGCTTTTAGCTTAACAACCCCGCGTTTTCCAAATTGTGTTCTCTATATTTAGTCACCTCGTTGTTCCGACAAGTTGCATTAACAGTCGGCAGCGGAAACGGTTGAGTAATTTGCTTCGTTAACGAAGACGATCAAGCCTAGGCATGTTGAACACAACCTACACGAATGGTGGCAATCCATTTGGAAAAAAGCTTCAATTCGTATGTATACAAAACGCATGATTTGTCTTCATAATTGAGCAGTGTGTCAACATTAATTAAATTAGAGACACTGTCTTACATTGGGTTGAGGAGCGCCTGCCTCGTTCCTTAAAATTCCTGGATTTTTTAATAATGCGCTGATGTTCATTTCTACAAGTGGCAGAGTCATGATCGTGACGAAGCACATGGAAAGCATATTGGCAATACATCAGACAAGACGAAAGTCAATTAATGTGTACATCAGATAAGGGCGCGGGTTTCGACATGAAAAATCGAAAGTCCATTAACTAACACGCATATGTATGTACATAAATAGATAAAAGGATCAGTCAAAAGTGATCTTTCACGACGTGAACAGTCCAAAAATCGTTACACAATAAGCGGTTAAAATTTTCGCACAAATTTTAAGAAAAATCAAACTCCTAAACCTGCTCCAATCTGAAGGAAGGTTAAGGTCGACTCTTAAGGCCAACGCTCTCGAACATACATATACATAAATCTTCGCGAACAACATGACATTTAAACACCATTTGTCTTATAAACAATTGCGATTGTCAAACGGATCGTTTGATAAAATACCATGGCGAATCCGGGACCGTATCTTAAGCGAGACGGAGGTCGAACAACGTACCCAGCAGTACAATTGATTAAATAAGTAAAATATCGAACCTTCTTGCGTCCGTGAGTAACGATCCAGCCGTACCTTAAGGTCATTGAAGTCGTCTTTTGTAGTAGCTCGAGAATTGAATTACTAAAACGGTCCTCTACAGTTTAATAAAGTCTGAAATTAGTTTAACAGCTCTTCAAACGATTATTATCAATATTGACATTAACAGGACAATAAGACTTGTTCTTTTTCGTCATAAATAGTCCTTAGCCGTTATTATTGTTCTGCTAGTAACGAACGGCTTGTACAACAGGTGGCTGCTGCATCCTTATTGTAGAAGTCGTTTATCTGGTCGAAACGTTTGAATAGACTGGAGGAGATTGAATAGCAACAAAAAGCGCGCATTTCTAAGTGCTTCTTGTCAGATCATCCACTAGAAACACAACAGTATATTATTATATCTACTACTATCTCTAGCACCACGTAGTAGTAGTTGTTGTTGTTGGCAAACGAATCCCTGGCTTGCAAACGTGTGTCTTAACACAAAATCGATATTCCATCAGCGATTGCACATGAACACCAATCGGCGATTCAATCTCCTTATCAAGTGTCTTGAGACATTCTGCAAGCATTTCGTTGGAATTCCACGGGAAAGGTCGGCTTGTTAACTGCAAGAATTTCTGCTTCATTCTTGTATAAACTTCTGCCTTCTGGTTTGTTTCAGTTCTTCTTCAACTTCGTTTGATCTGTTGAATCTTCTTCTGTCTTCCTTGGTTCCTTCTACGTTATCCAAATGGATTAAAATTAAATACACGAGTGTAACAACATCTTGTGTTTCATCGTTCTTGTTCTTCTTTCCTGTGTTATTTTCCCTGACTCCTTCAACTTTTGGGTCTGTTCTTCACAGTAAGTGCTTCTGCTTTTTCCTTTTCTTGATTCCTCTGTCGAATCTTCGCTGAAGTCCTCTACCCATTCTAATTCTTCCTCATCTTCGTTACTCTTATTCCTTTTTTCTAGGTTCTTTGTACTTTACTGGACTTTTGTGGTTTCGCTCACCACAATGATCACTTCCACATCACCACTGGTTCCATATACGATTCTTGGCCATTACGGAATTCAATCCTTCATTAACGCCCCTCCTTTTCTTGAAGTAATTACCGCAAAGAAAAGGTTTAGATATTCGCATTAACACACCTTGCATTAGACTCGACGATACCATAAACAAGTAAGCTTCTTCGTCTTCGATTTCCGACACAGTTATTAATCTATTGGATCGTTTGTTTCACGACAAAAAAATATGCTTGTATAAACCGAATAAGAAAAAAGTTTTACGCTAAATAATTCCGACACATAAATCTCTTCAAGCCGGTATTTATTATAATTGAATTCAACGACGCGCACTTAATAGCCAACGGGCTCTATCGGAATAGGGAAGCGGTTAATCACAGCCAGTTCATGGAAGCTGCCGAGACCTCTTCTGACTATCTTAATGGAAGAACGCATTACGTGGTAGATAATACGCGACGGGAATTGGTACGTAGATATATCCTGACTTTTGAGTTATCCGTATGATCATTAAATCGAAAATAATTAGCATTACGTTATCTAAAAACATTGGAATAATGATTTAGATCTGTAACGTAGTGTCTACGTATCCATACGAAAATTAGACACAAATTCCATTCATTTCCTTTGATTTTGATACGACTTTAATAATAACAATGGGTTCTATTGTGTTATCTGGGCAAATACGTAGTGGGATAGTACATTTTCTATACACATACAAATACCTAGAGGTATTCCGTGGTTTGAAGATGAACACGAACTTGCTGATCATTATTATACCTATCTGATGGTCGGGACCACCCAGCCGATTGTATGCAGCCAGAGAACCACAACTTGCATACACACGTGTTGGTTATGTGCGTATGTGTGTGTTTACGTGTACGTATATTTAGGTATATTTATCCAAACCGTGAAATGACCGAACAGGAATTAAACCGTCGACCAGAAACTATTAACCTATAGGCCATAAAAACTGTAGGTACACCAAGATGGAAATCCTATATATATTTTCTTCAGTATTGGCCAATTATTTTAGGTCCTGGTTGGTCGCTAAATCAGAAGTAATTATACCAAAGCGTTTTACAGTTTCCACAAACGTCTGAAGAAATCCCTAACACCGCGGGTTTGGTAGTGGGTACAAGATAAATAACGGCGAGAAAGCATTGTTTATTAATTTAGCCCAGTGGTGTATCGAATATCGATCTCATTTTACACAGTTTACAGTTCCCTGATTTACTTGAATTTGTCCAGGTCATAACAAAGGTTCGTTTGCAATTGTTCAAGCAAATTACGCCAAATAATTTGAAACCACTGAGGAACCATTCGTGACAGATAATTAGCAACGGTTTAATTGAAACGGATCTTCCAAAATCTTGGTGCAGATAGTTTTATTAGTTAGTATAATTAATTCAACACACGTTGTTGATTTTATCATTTAATGATTTATAATTCCTGGCGTCACTTCAACTGTTACAGTAATTATAATTTACGCTCTAATTCGTAAGCTTCCAATGGCCATACGTTTTGTATGCCCACATCTCATGGGGAAAGATGAACCAAAGCAAAATGTCTAAAAGAGAAAAACAAAAACTATCACAGGTGGTTCAAGAATAAGTCATCCGTAGAGCTTAATGAAAGCTGGACGAGACTTTTTTCCAATCGATTGAATGAAATGTTTGTCTTGCGTCGTCCATTTGGTACCCTGAAATAACCGGATCCGAAAAAATCAGGAAACGTTTTAAACCGGCCCAATTATCATCCTCGCCATCACAATGACCCGAGAAGGACGCCGACCCTTTATAGTCTTAACGCTTTTTACGTCCTCATATTACAAACAGGGCAGGGACATTTCTCAGTTGGTCTCCCATAAAAGGCTTAACTGGACGCGGCCGCCGCAGAACTTGTCCAAGTCCCGTTTCGTCTTCCAACGTCTGTCGGCAGTTCAACTTTTTCCCATCCATCTTCTCTCTCGTTATCAGACCTCTCGGCTCGCTCATCGAAGAAATGGGCAGAGAAAAAGATCATGATTAAACCCCGTCGTTCCTACTCGAATAAGGATCAACTTCAACAGCAACGAGAGTCACGTTTACAAAGCCTTTCTCAAAATATACATGTACTAATCGGTTCGGTGTTAACATGACAATTCACTTACGTAATTTAGTAGATCCATGATTCTTCTCTTTTGCGTCTAAGAAACCCTGAATAACACACTTTTTTTTTGTTCCAGCTGAAAGTGACATCTCAACGTTCGCCCTACTGAAGAATCATTATGCTAGACGTCAGCAAGTGGATTCGAACCTGTTCAGCGTCACCACGCGTCCAAATGCGGTCCAGGCGTTATACGACGCGGCGGCCAAGACGCCGGTGCACGTCATCCGTCAGATGGACCGCTGGCGTCGGAACGGCACCCGTTCTTCCCGTTTCTTCGTCTGCACTCCCGTTCTGGGACAAAGGCGGAAAAAGATCAAAGGGAAAATCGACATCGAAATCGAAACCAGGATGGTACGAACGTTGACAACTGAATATAAAACAAATCGATATGATCACGGTTGCTTCTTGTTGTTGTTTTAGCCCGCTGCTGTCGAAGAGCTGCGACGATGGACATCCACGGAGGCGTTGGGTGACATTACAGTCACTCCGGACTGTCCCAATCGCATTCCGCAAAGCGTTACGTATCTCAGTGACGGAAATGTCACAGACGGCACCTTGGTTTCTGACGACGACGGAATCGACCACAAACTACCTTCACCCGAAGAACAGGTGCAAGCCATTGCTCTCAAGTAAGTTAAGAACAACAACAAAAAAACATGACAAAAATGGACAACCTTTCACGATTATATTCTTCTTACTTTTCCTTTCTATTTTTCTATAGATTTCCCGCCGAGATGGTGGCAGTAGACATTTCCGGTCGCAGATTCTCACGCTTGTCCTCGCAGCGACGCTCTGTCCTTTACCGGTCGAGCGGCGCTTGTACCACCACCGATGCAGGCGTCGTCGACGGAGCGTCGTCCTCGACGGCGACGCGCAGGCAGACGAGGTCACGAAGGTCACGTACGCGACGAAGAACAACACTCGCAGGAACCGACGAGAAAGAGATCAAAAATGCTCTTGAAGCAGGGTATGTAACACATCATCAAAGAACAAAGTTCGATATTACTTTACAATCGATCGATCAAAAAAATTGACGAAGACACTTTACACACCCGAATTGCACAAGTTCGATGCTAACGAAAAATTTTCTATTTCTAGTAAAGAAGCTCGCAAAAAGTCTGATAATAAAGGAACTGGTCCTCGAAAGTATGTACTGAGTTCAAGTGAAATTAACAAAACGTCTTTCTGGTGTTCTTTTTTTATTTGCTAACCCATTTTGGCTTTTTGCTTCGATGCTGTTCACGATGTGTTTTCGTTTTGTGTAACAGGGCTGCTTTCGGGCTGCAATTTGAAACCGTTCTAATTTTCACAAAACCAAAACCGCAAACAATCATTGACAGCGTTCAAAAATCAGGTGGGTCGCTAGTTGTCTTCGTCCATTTTTATTATTTCTTACGCAAAATCCGATCGGAGACGGGAACGACGAGCAAAAACATTTTATTTTGTTCTTTATTATAAACTTCTTCGCCAACAGGGAAGGTCAATCGACGAGTACGGCGGCTGCTCCGGAAGAAATCGTTTCGTACGACATACCTCCTCCGTTCCTCAGGAGCAAAAGCAGCGACATCCTTCGATCTTCCGTCAGAAGGTCGATGGTGACCGATAGCAAAAAGTCGCACTTCCAAACCCTCAAAGAATGGGGCAGGAACAAGTTCAAATTGTCGTCATCGAGCAAATCGCCGACTGAAAGTCGAAAGAACGAGTCGAACAAAGAAAACGAAAACGTCGATTCAAACGTGTATGAGACCATAACGGTACGTAAAAGGCGCAGTTTGAATAGAGAAAAGCGTCCATCACACGAACGAAATCCGTCGTACTCTTCTTCGGAAAAATCGAGTGTCAGTATTCCTATAGCGAAACCCCTTTCGTCAGCCGTTGCCTTAGCCGTAAGACTTCGTGATACTTCTTCTTCGCAAAGACGTTTCCGGAAGTCCTGTGATAACAAAGACGAGCCGCGTTCGTCCAGCGGAAACTGGAGTGCGAGCTCGGAAAGCGGAAGGGCATCAATCGCTTCCGAAATAACCACCCATCCGAAATCCACGACCTCCGCAGCCACATCAAACAACTCCCTCAACCTCAATCATCCGCCCAACTCCTCCAACAGCACCAGGAAGTTTGCCAGCGTGTCAGCGTCGGACAGCGTGACCAGCGAGGGCACGCTAACTCCCGACATCCACGACATTCACGAAGACATGGACAGTAGCTCCGTATATTCTTGCGATACGGAAGGTTACTACACGTCTTTCCACATGGACAGCGGTCTGAAGACGTTGAAGGAAGAAGAAACTCCAGTCATGCCGTTCCACACGACTAGTGCCTTTTCTACTCCCGGATCCCCAAGCGACGCTCTGTCTGCAGAGAGCGAGTACGAACTGTTCGGGAAGGGGTCCACATCAACGACAGCCAGTTCCGCTGGCACCGTATGTACAACACTGAAGGCTGGAGACAGCGACAAGTCCCTGTTCGTGGGTCCTTCCGTTCCAGAAAGGAAGAGCTCGTTGAGCAAAGGCAAGGATAACGTCGCAGAATCGAAGGAGAAAAACAACACAATAAAGAGGAGTCCGGCTTCGAGCAAAGCGTCCGTTATCGCAGTCATTCACAAGCAAACCAACGGCGACATATCTCCTGATAGCGGTCATAACACCTCGAGCTCTCCTACTCAGTCTGCCAACAGTCCCAATGGAGGTAGAAGTGGATCGGAATTTGAATATTCTGAATGTTCAGACATGGAAGGAGCCGACAGAATCGAAAGGATAAGAAGCAAAACTGCCATCAACTCGAGCAGAATACCGTCCATGTGCGTTATCACTCCTCCCCATAGCGACGACGAGAGCGTCAAAAGCTTCTGGGAGAAGGGCCCTCCGGAGTATATAGACAATATGCCGTATATAAGTCTAAACGATTTGAACGCTAAAAATATCAGCAGCACAACAAACAACTTTTCTCCTAATCCCTCCGTTACTACTGGTTACGTTACTTTGGAATCGCTGGAAGGAATGAGAAAACCGAACGAAATTCCTGTTTCTTCCCTAAACACTTTTAGGGCTCCATCTCCAAGCGGCGGTTCGGTAACAATAAAGAAAGACGAAGAGCCAAAATCGAGTCCCGTGGATCCCCAAGCCGCCCAAAACCAGCCACCTTTCATAAAGGCGAGTCTCCTGCCGCTGAACGTATTCGGAAAACTCAAACTCAACATCCCCAACTTTTCTTCCAAAGTCGACAAGAATGAGAACAAAGTGGACAACAATTCCAACGAATACGACGAATACGTGACCATCGCGGACATCAGGAACAATAATGGGAAAATATCCAAAAGACCGCCGGTCCCATCGTCAGACGCGTACAGCGATACCATAAGTAAGAAACTGAACGACGTTTTGACCAATCGAATTCGAGAAACGGAATACGTGTCCTTGGACGAGCTTCCGTCCAATCCATCGCCAGAAAAAACCCACGATTCCAACACGAGCCCGCTAGAAAAAAGGCACCAAGGCGCCAGGGTGACCCTAGACGCCGACGGCAAAGTGGTGTACAATTCCGACAGTTTGAAACGTAAGAAAAGCGCGCACACGACGTTTCAACCTGGACCCTTCGTCAAAAGTCCTTCCGAAACCCCCGAACAAAGTCCTTTGATCAACAGAAGAACCACCCCAATAAGACCTGTACAACAACAAGGAAATACAAGACCAATGCCTCCCTCTCAATACATAATTCACGCCCAAAGCGGAATGGCATCTCCTACTATCACCAAGGAGGCCTTAAGGACACCCCTGTCGACGGTTATCGCGCCTCCTTCCGCACGATCCATGTCACCAGGGAAATCCACCACCAACAACAGGGGAGCATACGTTCACATGCAGAAAAAACCTTCGGAAAGTCTTACTACAAAAGGTAAGTCCTACACTACCACCGGAAAAGCAACCACCCTCAGTTCGAAAATAGCCACCACCGCGAATGCCTTGCCGAACAAAGTGAAACGAAGTAACAGTTACCGCCTGGCGAATGCGTTGCCCTTTTCGGCGGCTCGAAGGGTCGCGGCGGGATTTCGAAACGAGGGTGCCGCGTTAGACTTGGAAGAGATCGTTGAGCTCGAGATCGAAGCGGAACTCCTTCGAGAAAGCATTAACTACCCTCCGACCGTGTCGCCGAAAACGTGCAAGAGGCAATGCCCCTTGTATTCGCAGGAGCATGCGCGAGAACTGTTGCTCGCTTCCCCTAATCGGGTCACCATACCGGCGGACAGTTCGGATTTTCGCGCAAGGGTTCTGTCAGTACCCAACGGCGACACCGAAATTTGGTAAAGAAAGCGAAACCGAATGTCTCGCGTAAGACTGTTATTTTTTTTGTTTCCTGTGGCTATTTTCCTAATATTTCCAACAAACAGTTAGTGACTATTATATATATAGAAACAAATAAACAACTGCCAACAAAAAAAAAACAACGGAAGGTAAGAGAATATCTAGCAATTGTTTATAATTTAACTATATGCGATAAAAATTTTTTATCAAGTACGTATGCGCATTCATTCAAATGCAATAAAACTGGTTTAATTTACATAGTCCAATGATTCATTCTCGTGGTCAACTGGTGTTCTGCTGAATCATAATTTGATTACTGAACTCATTAATGAAACCTGCTTCTCAGATATACAGGGTGATTCTTTCTTATTTCGTGAAACACGTTGAAAATTTCGACGAACAAAAACTAATGATTTTTTCGGTTGGGTTTTCCATTAATTTATATATTCTCATTTTCTAATCCATCTGATCTGTATCCCCTTCTGCGCTTGGGTGATTGGCAACGAAACTCATCAAAACTAATACAAAAACTGCACCACATACACGCACGTAATATTTTCATTCGCACTAAATGTCTAAAAGGCAACTTGGTGGTAGTGACGGACAGACACCAAAACAATTACCTATTTTTTATGTTTCCGATCGCGCACACCTTATTTTACCCACATGTATGTAAACCATTTAAGATGCCTGATGTTTCTTGTCTTCCACTAGTTGCACAAAGCACATCCGCATGTCAGAAAGCACCCAAAATCAAAAAGGTACGACCCAATTGCACCTGCGATCGACTCTAATCGTAAATAGCGTGAAGCTGTTATAAAAAAATTGCTATTTCCCTAATTGCATTTGTTTTAAAACAAATAAAAAATGATTGCAATTGTTGAAACCTTGACAATTACGCAATCACATCGTGTTCTCGTCAAATAAGAAAAAAAAGAAGGCAAATCCTTACAGGTACGTGATTCGTCTATAATTAGACGCAAGAACGGGGCGTAGACGCAATATATTTTCGAGACGTGGTTCAAGTTGTAAGTTAAATATCTGACGTTACATTGGAAGCAAAATAAATTGAACGTACGTGCTCGTGGACGAAATCCACACATTCCTTTTCGCATATAAAAATTCTGGTCGCAATTTTAAAGTACCTACTACACACGGTGTCCCACAACAAATAGCATTATAGAGAGTTGCTTGGGTCGTCTTAAAGGGTGTGTTCTGACCTGTGCACAACTGTGTGTAATTTTTAGAATAGAATTTTATTTTAATGCACTACTTGTTGCCATGTCTTGTTTGAAACTGTTTTGTATGATTTTTTTGTTTTTTTTTTTTAAGTCTGTAAATAATAGCTAGGCGATAAGTGAAATGTGTACAAATTAGGTGTACCTAATCTAAATGCATGTTTTGAGAATTAATAATTATTCCCGCTGTATATATTATACCTTTTGCATGAATTTGTGTGTTTTCGAAAAAGTAGATCTTTCGTTAAAAGGCATTCTCAAAAGTTCATGTACCTAACGTTAATGATAATAATTCATATTGAATTATGTAAAGTAATAAAATAAACCATTAATAAAATCGAAAAACCTCAGTAACGATCTTCTTAACCTGACGACGAATGTGATAATAATTTAGTGAACATAAGACATAACAAAAAAAAATAATACATCTTTTCATATATATATGTATAATTAAACTTCTTCCTTATCGCTATGTACGGTAACCGTTGGTAAGTGTTTAAAAATTAAGTAAATATACTTAACTTCTGATTACACAAACCGTTCACCCACTTTACAATTCCTTTTAAAACGTTGTCATCAATAGTTTAAATAATTTTATGTAACAGGCAAAATTTACTAGATTGCTCTATGACTCGTTCATCACCCATAACGCTGACTTCGCTATATACTCGTGTAATAACGAGAATTTAAAAATACGTATACATAGGTTTTCCTTCAATTAAAAAACTCATGCATATTTGTTTGCGAAGATGTTTAATTGCGACTGAACCAAACGCTAAGACGCCAGAAACAAAGGTGAGCACCCTATCTAATCTATACACTGCATGGGATCATCTTGCATGAAGCAGTTTTGTTTTCTGTTTGCGTAGCATTTCGTCTTCAACCTGTAACTATAGTTTTGAATGCCTAGTTCAATTAAAAAGCCGTGAATTTAATTACCAAAAGAAACTAGTAAACCAAGCAACACCTTCTACTATTAGATCGTATTCTCTACTAATCTAATAACATGGGAAAACTAATCCGCAATGAATGAAATTAATGAACAATTTTAAAAGTTTTGTTTGAATACGTTTTTGTGTATTTACTAATACTGTTCAAATTGCTACTTTTTGTTATTAGGGGAAGCCGAAAAAACTACAAATGTTAGATATTTAGCCAAAATAGTTACTAACAAAATACATACATACTACAATATATTATAATATAAGAGAATATTCTTTTCGTTTTAGGGCAAGTTCTTTCCACGAATATTCCAACGACGTCTGCACCACAACAAGACGTGAGGACGACGACTTTGCCACCGAGGAAGTCCATGAACCTGTACAATGCTTGGTCTGCCCATACGGATTCCCTTGCCACCCTAAACTACTGCGATTATTCTAAATTTCAAACGTTCCCACATCGAAAACCGGACCACTACAGAACCGTTCCCAAAATGCCTGATATCTCCGTCTCCTCGAAAAATCCGAATCCTTACGAAGGACTGTTCGAAACGGCTGCTCCAAACGGAAGAGTCATCTGCCAAGACCAGAACGAATCACTGAAAATATCCCCAATTGAACCTTGCAAACCCCAGCACATGTTCCAATCTTCCACTCCGAAACCTCCGGAATCACTCAAGCACGCCATAAACCTGGAATCGAAATTGTTATCCCCAAAAAAATCGACAATGTCAAACGAAGAATTGTACGCCGTCATTCATAAGAGCAGAAAAAAGCTGAACATTCTCACCGATAAAGAGCCCGCTGGTGCTGAAGAACCCGTAGTTCCTAAAGAGGTTCCCGCAAAACAACTCGTAAAGTCTCCGGAAACGGGATATTTGAAAGACAGATCGCGGGAAAGGGCGAGCTGGTCTCCCAGCGAAGACCAATTGGATTCGTATCCAGGTTTAAGTTCGTCGCCTAGAAGTCGTCAAAGTTGGGCGCATTCGGACAAAAAGGGCCAAATAAAGCAGACGTCCCAAATGGACTTCAAAAGATTACTTTTACAACAAAGTGCCAAATCTAACATTACGTCAAATAACTCGAGGAAGTTATCGGCTGTTGAACAACTAAAACTGTCGAAACAGCAAGGTCCCATTCAAACAAACTCGTCTATGAATATATTAGATTTGAGTAGTTCTCCGCGTAGTTTACAACGTAAATTGATTAGCACTCCTCCAAAGTCTGGAGTATTGGATAAGCCAAGATCTCCTGCCAAATTGATGTCCCCCAGGTCCCAGTGGAGATTCGCTAGCCCTCGTACAGATGTTCTCTCTTCGACAATACTTGAAGATTGTAGAGAAGACGAGAGCTCGGGGAGTTCTTTGGAGAAGAAATCGCGTAAAAACGAAACAGAGGAAAATTCTTCTAGAACCGACAATAACAATATTTCGCCAAAACTGTCAGTGTCTCAGTATATAAGGGCAAAAAGGGCGCAATTTTTCAGTTCGACTCCAAAAAGTGACGCAGAGAATGTGTCTCGATTTGAAAAGAATGCGAGTAACAACAGCAACAGCCCTAAAGATTTACCCGCTTTGGAAACTTCTTTCTAGCACTAAACTAAAATCGTGGAAATTGTATGAGGAAGTTTTCTTCCACTTGTATTATCATTATTTTTATTATTCTACACGTACACTAACTAGTTAATTCGTACCTATTATTTTCTTTGAGTCTAGTCTTCGAGCCATCGTATTTTGTTTATTTCTCCAAGGGACCATTTTGTTTTTATGATTGATCGCATCGTGTTATGAGGAGTTGATTTTAAGTTTTTATTAATTTATTCAGAGTGTTGTATGTAAATAAACAAATAAGATACGAGAATGCCTTAATATTAAATTATTACAGTATACGGAACTTGTATTGTTTATAATAAACGATTTTCATTTTCATAAAAAAAAAAGTTTATTACATCCCTTAGGACTAACAGCCTTACGACGATGACATCCCTTAAAAGAAATTGTCGAAGGAAAATGATAAACATAATATTATTTACGAAAAATTAATTTTGGTTCAATTATTTTTTTTTTTTGAATCTGTAATTTATTTTTCTTATTAAGGAAATCTTGTCTTAAAAGCACAAAAAGTGATTAAAAAACAATAGTAAAAGTATTTAACTCATTTATTATTAAATTTATTGTACAAATTCTATCAATAATTAAGCATCACTGAATTTATGGTAAATAATAATACATGTGAACGCTAATGAAGAAACTAAAATTAGGTAATCTGAATTCACTTAAGAACAATAAATTCGCACTTTCAAATTTATGTTTCACTTCACAATTGTTCATTTTGGTGGTCCATTAACAACTGGAGGCCTTACAGGTCCAGGTCCAAGATGTCCCATGGGCATCATTCCCATCATTGGAGGCCTCATTCCCATCATGTGAGGCATAGGGCCGTGAGGTCCCATCATCATAGGAGGTACAGGGCCTCCTGGTGGCATCATCCCTGGTGCAGCACCTGGCGGTCTTTGTCCCACAAGTTGTGCAGGGGGTGGAATGGCCACCCCCTTACCTGCTTGGGCAAACGGATTGTTGGCTATTTTACCAGCTTTAAAGGCAGCTGTTGTGGCATCAATTAAGTGCTGTGCTTGCTCCTCCATCCACTTCTGATAATAAAATTTCACATTGTCCTTATGTTTACGACCAGTGCAATGCGTTTTTCGAACACTTGGAGAGTCGTGTGTGAGGTAGGTATCGCAATAATCACAGTAATACTTCGGCATTTTGTACTTTTGTCACAATTTTTAGCGAATAAGCCGTATTTTAGCAAAAATTTCGCAAATATACGCAAAAACAACTGATGTAAGAGAATTAGGTTAACTAAACGTCAGACGCTTGAGTACATTTGAACTGCGAAGGTGTGGGACAATTTAACTACTCCAGAAGTTTAAAAGTATCGCCTGCTCTCTGCGTGAACTACAGCAAATTAAACGTCAGAATAAGAAAATCTACCCTATTTTTGCAAATAACTTTAAAAATTCCTGGTAAAAACTTATCATTTAAACAAGAGTTGACAAATGGCAGCCCCTGATGACGAACAGGTAAAAATAAAAATATTAGAACCCCTTTCCCCTTACTAAAACGTTGTTTTTTTGCAGTTTGAAGAAGACGATGCAACTGAAACCACTTTAGCCCTGTGTAGTGTAGGGAGGAAACGTCTTTTTAGCAAAGAACTAAGATGTATGATGTTTGGATTTGGTGATGATCAAAATCCTTACACAGAAAGTGTTGATATTATTGAAGATTTGGTGATAGAATTTATTACAGAGATGACCCACAAGTAAGTATCCAATTGGCTTTGTTTCCCTTCTAATACAGTTGATTTAGGGCAATGGAAATCGGCAGAACGGGAAGAGTTCAAGTAGAAGACATAGTTTTTTTAGTGAGGAAAGATCCCAGAAAATTCGCGAGGGTGAAAGACTTATTAACTATGAATGAAGAGCTGAAGAAAGCTAGAAAAGCGTTTGATGAAGTTAAATATGCAGGTAACACTTAACAGTTTTACATTTCATGCATTTTCCCTATATTTAAATAACTATTTAAATTAGGCAAAGACGCGCTCCAAGGATAACATAATGAAAATTTCTGTATTTAAATTATTTTTTATAACCATGTACCATAATACATTTGTAAGATTACTTATTAACAGTTTTATAAAAGTGTAATAAACTCTCATCATGCTTTCTTGTTTATTTTAAAACTACCCTGAACCCCTTTCTACAGCATTTTTTGCCGACAAAATAACATCGTTAATTCCAACCCCATCGTACGAACTTCCGCATAAACTTAAAGGTAAGTCGTGTTCATGTACAAACTTGCGAATTTCTTTAACTTGTTTTACATGTCCAACTATATATTGTGGAATGCAGTTTTCTAAAACCGATACATCAGCAAAAACCGGTCGTTCTTTAACATTCAAAATAGTTGCTAAATGTTTAAACGTAATATTTAATATTTCTTCGTCCCCAGAACTTCGATCAAAATATTTATCGTACCATCGACCACCCAACATGACGGTTAATAATGTTCTGTTTTCGAATTCGTTGGGGTAATGTTCGAAACAGCAACTATCGAAAATTACCCCAAGTATCGGTAAATTTTCTTTTGGAGGGACTAGAAAACCAAATCCAGGCTTAATGGGTAATTTCTTGTCGTATTCTAAATTAACAACTGCTACTGTTACGGTAGGAATACTGTTCAAAAGATCCCCCAAAATCGGATACTGTTTTTTCACAAGATTCCCTATTTTACTTGCTGGGAGACTACTAACCACGTGCTTGGCCCGAATTTCACTTTTATCACTTAAAGTCACTTTTGCGGCATTTTTACTCAGTTCCAATTGTTTACACTGTTTATTGAGGACAATACTACACCTCTGCTCTTTTTTGAGCCATCTTTCCAATCCTTGAGGTAAAACTTCAATCCCATCCTTAAAACTGAAGATACTCCACTTCTCCTTGGCTGCCTTCTGGTACAAGTCACTTTTGGGAACATCTTCCCCCTTTTTACCAAAACTTGATAGGCCGTCGATCACAAACGCTTGTAGCATGGTCCCATGTCTTTGGTCCTTTTCAAATAACGAATCCATTAAAAATCTGACGCTGATTTCTTTTGCATCACCCGCACAAATACCACATATCAATGGACTAATCAAATAATCGGCTACTTCAATTCCGAATTTTCGATTTACAAAACTGTATATGGATTCGTCGTTTTCGGGTATGGGTTTTGTGGCACTTGTTAGAAAATTCAACAGGTACTTATACAGTGGTTGAGAAAATGGTGGCTGCTTTTTGAACAAGCTCATCACATTATTTGGAAGACGGTGTAGTTCTCCGTTGACGTAAATCATTCGGTTTAATGCAGCAGGATGATTCGAAGGAATTGCAACGATTTGTTCAGAAAGAGCTAAATCTTGCACCAGTTGCAAGGTGTTAGCCCCTGGCAAACCTCTTGGTCTAATGCTCCTCGGTCCCTTTTCGATTATCAACCCATTTTTCTTAATGGAGCGCATCCAACCCCCTACACGTTCTGATGCTTCCAGAATTGTCACCGTCTCTTTAGGAAATCTCTTCAAGTAATAGTGGGCAAACGACAGACCCCCAAGTCCCGCTCCTAAGACAACCGTTCCAGACATTCCACTTTTTCGAAACTGACGCAGTTCCACGTTTCATTCATATCATCAGCCAATACACACCAAACCAAAACATTACCACATAACCTCTATGCTGCTGGAAGTCGAAATGATAATTTGAAATGTGTTATTCTTTTGTTTGTAAAATTAATTGATTTGTCAGAAAGTTTATACGTATGTAGATATGTTTTAAGGTGAAAGTAAATTTGATTTCAAGACTAAGTATGTACCTAGGTACTATTGTAATAGAGAAGATAATAAAAAGTGTTTGTTTACAAACTTAATATTTTATTCTGGTAATATTATCTCTATTAGTTTTATAATAAAAAATCAAATTCGAATTTCCGGGCTATTTTTAATATCTGATCATTCCAAGAAATTGTCAGAGTTAAGTATTAGGTCCGCAAGTTCCATGGGTTTCAGTTCTAATTTGATATATTCTGGTTTGAAATCGTTGTCATCTACGACAAATTCTTCGCTGATGGTAACAGGCTTTTGGTCGGCTTCAACTAATTTGTTATCAATTACGAAATCTCCGCTGGTCATTTCAACGAATTGCCCGCCTATATCAATCAATTCATGTTCAAGTTTAGGTTTGTCTTCTTCAATACTAAAGGCTTCTTTCATTTCAAGATCTTCGTCTACATACTCCAACGGACCTTGCTCAAAATCAATGTGTTGTTTTTGAAAATCATCATACTCTTGTTTAATTAATTCCATACTATTTTCGTCACCGATGTTGTTCCCACTGTCGGATGATTTCAATTCTTCTAGTGGCTTACATTTAATAATCTGGTTATTTTGCTTATGGAGTTCATCATCCTCCTCTTTGGGGCACACGCAATTCATCATGGACGTACAACAGACCATGCATTTGTGGTTCAACAAGTGTTCGTACAGATGAGCCTCGTGAAAGAATTGCATGTCGCAAAGGCTGCACTTCAGGTCATCTTCCACCATCTCGAAATCTTCCATCGAAGGTTTGAAACAACCGCAACTGGCGTAGATCCCATCGCAATCCAAACACTTAAAATCGCGATGAACTGCAATGTGCTCCATAAAGAACGATCTGTTAAATACAATTTTTGAACAGGCTTGACATTTGAACATGTCCTTCTTGGAAACAGGACCTTGTAAGGCATTTTGGTCTACTTCTGGAGTGCAGATGCAAATTTTGGAAGACTTATCACACACAAGGCATTTGAATTTTCTGTGGACGCCAATATGCCGTTCCAAAAGAAATTTGTTCATGAAGCGCTTATTGCATACATGGCATTTGGGTAATTTCGAAGACTCGGCATTGTGCATTTCGCGATGCATGGAAAGAGTGGTCCTTCGCGTAAAAGACTTATCACATTCGTCACATTTGTACGGTTTTTCTCCAGAATGGCAGTACATGTGTTCGTTTAAACCAGCTTTTAACGAGAACGATTTGCCACAAACGTCGCACTTGTAGGGCTTCTCAAACGCATGGATGTTTCTATGTCTTTTAAGATAGTACTTTTGAGTAAATTGTTTCAAACAAACGTCGCACTCGTAGGTCTTGGTGCTTTCGTGGATCGAAATGTGCAAGTTGTACGACGACTTGTTGGAGAAAGACTTATCGCAGTGACGACATTTGAGGGGTTTTTCTCCTGTATGAGTGTAAATATGTTCTTTGAGGGTATCCGCCTGAGTATATGATTTATTACAAAAATTGCACTTGAACGGTTTCTCTTTCCGATGGATAACCGAGTGTTTGGAAAGGTACCCCTTTTGGGAGAAACGTTTTTTGCACACTTCACACTCGTAGGGCTTCTCCCCCGAATGAAGATACAAATGTTCGTTCAAACGATACGGCGACAGGAATGTTTTCTGACAAATTGGACACATCTTTTTCGACTTCTTCTTGCACAGGTGGTTGTTGAAGTGGTGCCGCTTCAGGAAGATCCCCTTGCAAATTTCACATTCAATTCTACCCTTGAGTTCGTTAGTATCGGTGCTCTTCATAACCTCGACAGCCTTTTCGAATGCACATTGGAATGAAGAGTCGTTTTCCTTGGACATTTTCGATTTTCTTTCAACAGCACTTTTAAATGATATTGATAACAACTGAAGACTCAAATTGTTTGGCTTCCGATTTTATTCATAAGTAATTCACGCTCCTGGCTTGTAAATAAATGTGTTGTATTGTTACCAGACGATCAGATAATAATAATGCGTTACATCGTGTATGGTATACTAGCAATTGTACGTTCATCAAGTGAAAGTTGATTTAGATATACGCCATCGACGGTAAAATTAAAAAAACGGAAGAATAAACAATTGTATGATGATAACCGTAAACAAAAATGTATTGTAGTATATTTTAAACAATTTAAATTATTCGATACACAACCCTTGCACCGAATTTTCAAACAGGGTAATGTGCTAGAGACATCTTGCGTATAAATCCATGCAATTACATGATATAATTTAAAGACGTTGTTTGGATAACAAGAATTTATTTGCAAAGAAACTCGGCTGCTACATATTTTATTAACTTTTACAAAACAATTTCATTAGAAGTTAGAACTCTATGGATTCTGGTTTGACGTCAAAGATTTTAGCGTCTTCATCGACTTCAGCAAACAGTTCGATGGAGCTTTCAGGGATTTCAAAGTGCTCTTGCTTAGGTTCTTCTTTAGGTACAATAGTTTCACTTAATTCTACAATTTTCGTACTACAATCATTAACAAGTGAAGCTGAAATCTCTTCTTCTTTAACATTCACAGGTTCATTATTTTTCTCTGCTAACGGCTCATTGGCATTAATTGAAGATTTGTTAATCTTCTGATAAGTGTTAACACTTTTTGTCACTTGCATGTAATCGTCCGAGAAACAACTCTCATCATTGTCCTCGTTGAAGATGATACATTTGCCATCCTTGGGTATAATATTTTCACTAAATTTGGCAGATTCTTTTACAGGAGGTTCATCAATCGGGGTAAAACGTTCTTCTTTTTTAGCTTTAATCAAGGATTTGCTGGCTTTCTGATAAGTTTTAACGCTTTTCGTTACTTCCATATATTCATCAGAACTGCTGGAATTGTTACAATCCTCGTCGCAAGCCATACATTTTTCATCTTCGGGGACAATCGCTTCATCGACAGGTTTTTCCTCATCTGGAGTTGAAATTTCGTCTTCCTTTGCAGCAACACTAGGAGCACTTGCTTTTCTTGGTAAAGCCTCATCAACACTAGTTGAAGGTTTACTAGTTTTCCGATAAGTGTTAATGGTTTTTGAAACCTCCATGTAATCGTCGCAACAATTGCAATTCTTGTAATCTTCGTTACAAAGTATGCATTTATAATCGCGATGTATTCTCAAATGTATTTTGAGTTGGGAATTGCGTAAGATCGGTTTGGAACAAGTCTGACATCTGATCATCAAATTTTCTCTAGCGAAGCGATTCTTCAAGCGATCGCATTTGTCATCTACGCGGTTCCATGAACAGGCGCATTCTTCAGTGGGTTGGAAACACAGAGGACATTCGGGCTTAGCATGTTCTTTTACATGCAGTTTTAAATTAGTTTTATTTTTGAATTCCTTCTTGCATATGTGACATTTTAGCAAAATGCATCGGTCGTTTTTGTGACCACTTTTAATATGGACCGAGAGGTAATATTTTCTTGTGAACTTCTTACCGCACTGGTCACATTTAAATCGTTTCTTACCCAAATGGGTGGTTTTCTTGTGTTCGTTCAATTTGCTCTTCAAAGCAAAAGATTTTCCGCAAGTTTCGCACTTAAACAGATTTTCCGTACCGTGTTCACCCAAATGAACGTTCAAGTAGTACTTAGAAGGGAATACTTCTGGGCACAGTAGGCAATCAAAAGTCTTCGTGTTTTCTCGTCTATGAACACTTTTAATATGGACAGACAGGTAAAATTTTTTTGTAAACGTTTCACCACATTCGTTACATTTAAATGGTTTTTGGCACAAATGGGTATTGACGTGTTCTTCCAAACTGTTTTTTTGAGTAAAACAGATTCCGCAGGTTTCGCATTTAAATAGTTTTTCATTATCGTGGTCACTCATATTATTGAGGGCACACTTCTAAAAGTTTTTTCGTGGCGAATACGTAGATGGGCCTTCAAAGCCCTAACAATATTTACGTTTAGATGAATGTTTGTTTCCCCTTTTTAGCACAATCGGAGGTCTCCGTAACCTTAACGTTTTCCAACATTCATCAACATTTTTATTCATCTGTAGTAATAATAGCTCATTGCTATAAAATTCTAGTTTTGTTATAGTTAATTCGATAAATCATAAATGCGTATTATTCATCAGTAATAAACGTCACAATCAGATTAATGTAGCACACATTAAATCACAAAACATAATTATTTACGATCAAGATAAATAAACATAAGGCTTCGTATGAGGTAGAAGTTAATTTAATGAGCAAAAGAAATAAACATAACATAAATATTGGGACGATATCAACAACGGACTGTAAACAATTTCAATAGGTGCACAGAATCTCTCTGCATCGATTTTTCACACTGAATAATGTCATAGCCTCTCACATTTTAAAAGTTCCAATTTTATGAAAATTAATATTACAATAAAAGCACTTTTAATTGCAAAAGAAATTATATTCAAATAATATTAGTCTTTTAATTATACAAATTATTATACAGCTAGAAATGTTAATTCACTTGAACTCGACGGACTCTTCTTTAATGCTAAAAATACTCTTGTTATTACTGTCTTGGTCGACTTCAGCAATCGTATACGTAAAGGATTCAACGGAGTTTTCTCCTATTCCAAAACACTCTTCCTTAGGTTCCTTCTTAGGTACAATACTGTCTTTTTCATCAATTGTAACAAAACATACTTCTTGCTTAACTTCAACAGGTTTTACTACTGTTAACGGCTGCTTAACGTTAGAAGAACGTTTATAAGTTTTCTGATAAGTGTTAATACTTTTTGTCACTACCATATAATTGCTGGAGCAACTACAACCTTTATTAGTGTCCTCGTTGCATGATATACATTTATCTTCTTTGGATATAATAGTTTCACTTAGATCGATGCATTCTTTATCGTCTTCTCCACCAAGTTCATTAACTGGAGTAACAACCTCTTCCTTAACGCTAACAGCAGGTTCAGCTGCTGCTTTTTCTGTTAACAATGACTCTTCAACTCTGGTTGAAGGTTTACTGGTTTTCCGATAAGTATTTATGGTTTTCGACACCTGAATGTAATCGTCACAGCAATCGCAATTCTTATAATCCTCGTTGCAAAGTATGCACTTATAATCGCGATGTGTTCGTAAATGTATCTTGAGTTGGGAAACACGCAGGATCGGTTTGGAACAAGTCTGACACCTTATCATTAAATTTTCTCTATTGAGACGATTCCTTAGGCGATCGCGTCTGTCGTCTGCGAGATCCCACGAACAAGTGCATTCTTCAGATGATTGGAAACATAGCGGACACTCAGGTTTAACATGTTCCTTCATATGCAGTTTTAAATGAGTTTTGGTCTTGAATTCTTTATCGCATACGTGACATTTTTGTAAAATGCATAGGTCATGATTGTGGACAGTTTTAATATGAACCGAGAGGTAAAATTTCCTAGTAAATGTCTTACCGCATTGCTCGCATTGAAACGCTTTCTCGCGCAAGTGAGTTTTCATGTGCTCCTTGAGGGTCCACTTCAACACGAAACATCTTCCGCATGTTTCGCATTTAAACAGACGTTTCGTATCGTGTTCGGCCATATGGACCTTCAAATAGTACCTGCTTGAAAGTACTTTCGGACATAAGACGCATTTGTAAGTTTTCATGCTCTCGTTGCCGTGGAGGCCTTTTACATGGACCGACAGTGAGAACTTCTTGGTAAACGTTTTACCACATTGGTCACATTTAAACGGTTTTTGACCTAAATGGGTTTTCATATGTTCACTCAATGTGTTCTTCCTGGCGAAACATTTATCGCAGGCGTCGCACTGAAACAGTTTCTTGCCAAAATGGATTTTCACGTGTGTATTCAAAGTCTCCTTCAAAGCAAAACACTTGCCGCAAGTTTCGCATTTAAACAGTTTTTTGTTGTCGTGAACGGCCATGTGGAGCATCAAGTAGTATCTCGAGGAGAATACTTTCAAACAAAGGGCGCATTCGTAAGTGCTTTTTTCGTGATGGGTACTGAGATGGGCGTTCAAATGTGATTTCAGCCTAAACTGCTTCCCACAGTATTTGCATTTTTGTAAACCGCACGACCCAAGTTTATGGAAATTTTTAATGTGGATCGACAAGTAAAATTTCTTCATAAACGTTTTACCGCATTGGTCACACTGATACGCTTTCTGGCCCGCGTGGATTTTCATGTGTTCACTCAAAGTGCTCTTCAGGACGAAGCATTTTGCGCAAGTTTGACATTTAAACGTATTTTTTGTGTCATGTTCTGCCATGTGGACCTTCAGGAAGTACCTAGTCGAGAAGATTTTAGGACAGAGATCGCATTTATAAGTTTTCATGTTTGCGCGACTATGAACGGTTTTAATGTGGACAGAGAGGGTGCACTTTTTTGTAAACGTTTTACAACACTGGTCACATTTGAACGGTCTCAGGTCCAAATGGGTCTTCAGGTGCTCGTTCAGAGTGTTCTTCCTAGAGAAATATTTGTCGCAAACATCGCAATGAAAATGTTTATCGTCCATGTGAACCGGATGATGTTTGCCCGTATATTTGTTGATAGTTAATCGTTGTTTTCAAATTTGGATTTTTACTCAGAATGAAGAAGTTGTAGAGATGTCGTCTAAAAATAAACGTTGATGAGAATGTCTTCCAGTAAATCCAATCGAATTTGAAATGCAAAAATGATTTCATTTATATGTAGGTACCTACATGTAAACATGAATTGCATTCAGTCGTCGAAACAGACACATGAATGTAATACGTGCTGCATCCTAAAATGTAATTGTTTACGATGAAGATAAATAAATAAAGAGAGGTTAATGCGATAAATTCGAAAACTAATAAACATTGCCCCAAGTATCACCCTATCGTATCTAAAAACTTCTTACAATCTTTCTGCATCGAATTTTCATACAGATTAACGACCATCGTAGAAGGATCCAATTTTATCAAACGATATTAAAATATTACTTTTATTTACAAAAAGTAGCATTTTGAAACATTATTATTTTTATTAAACTATAAAACTCATATATCTTTAATAAGAATATTATTTCATGAGCTATAACTCTATGGATTCTTGCTTAATATCAAAGGTGTTGTTGCTCTGTTCGTCGACTTCAGCAGAGTTTGCGCAGATTTCAAAATCCTCGTCTTTGGGTTCTTCTTTAGGCACAATAATTTCTTTTGAACTAACAAATCCTTTTTCATGTTTCACAATAGGTTCAAAAACTTCAACAAAAGATTCTTCTTCTTTAACATCAATATCAACATTATATAAAGGACTTTTAAGGAAATTAGTCTTATGTTCCGGGTTCTTGGGGCCGACGCATTCTTCATCTGACCTGGTGCAAACCGAACTCAGTTTGGTGTGTATCTTCATATGTTCCTGCAGGCGAGACTTGAACATAAACACTTTATTGCATACATGGCATTTCAGTAAACTTGTTAAGTCGTGCTTGCGTTTCACATGAGTACTGAGGAAAATTTCTTTTGTATACGTTTGACCGCATAGATCACATTTAAATGGTTTCTCGCCCATATGGTTTTTCATGTGCTGATTTAACTGTCCCTTTCCTACGAAGTTCTTTTCGCATGTGTGGCATTTAAACGGGTCATCTTCGTTTTCGTGGACATCCACGTGGACCTTTAAACCGTACCTTGTTGAGAATACTTTCAGACAGAGGTGGCATTTGTAAGCTTGTATGGGCTGGTGAGTTAGAAGATGTGCCCCCAAAAGTGACTTTATTCTAAAACGCTTTCCACAGTTTTCACATTTGTATGGTTTTGTTTTTTCACTGCAATGATGGTTTTTTGAATTCATATTGCATAATGGAAATCCTCTTGAAGACTTCACATTCAATTCTGCCATTAGGTTTGCTAGAATCGACGCTCTTCATTGTTTCAACATTTTACTTGATAGTCAGTTAAAACTATTTATACGAATATTTTAATTTGATAATTAGGTGCTTTTAAACTCACGATAGTGTGTATATGGTCTTCGGTCAACCACAGAATTAACTTGAGTAATATGAACTCTCTTCTTCTATGGCATATAAAAAAAGAATTACGAATAAACAAACGAAGGTAAATAAACAAATTTTGAATGGTATTTATTAGCTCCATATCATTAAAATCCATGTTAATTTATGAACAAATACGAAATAGAAATTTTGTACATATGTATTAAACAATTTGAATAAATCGATACAATATTTTTGCACCTATTTTTCATATATATTTAATAATGCATTTTATACAACCTAACATAGAAATATAACATAGTCAATAAAAGAAATTTATTACCAAATAATCATAATCCATTTGTTACAACTCTATGGATTCTAATTTAACGTTAAAGGCCTTAATTGGTGTTTTCATCGACTTCAGTATTAAGATAAGCAAAAGCTTCATTGGAGTTTTCGTCGATTTCGAAATACTCCTTTTTGGGTTCTTCTTTAAGTAAGATAATTTCACTTAGTTGTACAGGTTTCTCCTCATACTTCAAGATAGGTTCATTAACTGTAGTAAATATTTCTTCCTTCTTTATATTAAGAGCAGTATTTTCTATTAACTGTTCATCAGCGGTAGTTGAAGGTTTACCAGCTTTCTGATAAGTGTCTTTGGTTTCTGCAACTTCTACATGACTGTCACCCCATTCAACATTATGGTGCGATTTCATATGTTCTACCAATTGAATCTTGTGCTTGAACAGCTTGTTGCATACGTGACATTTTTCTGAAATCCTTGCACCATCTTTATGAACACACCAATAATGGACGAAGACGGAATATTTTCGTGTGAACGTTTTACCACATTGGTCACATTTGAACGGTTTTCGGCACGTTTTCATATGTTCTTCGAGAATATCAGCCCGTAAAAATGACCTAGAGCACAATTTGCACTTAAGCGGGGTATCGTTTGTGTGACGTGTTAGGAAATGTCTATTTAATTCATAGTTTAGAGGAAACTGCTTCTCACAAAGATGACATTTAAAAGGTTTCTCCTTTGCATGGGAATGTAAGTGTCGTTTCAAATTAAACGCCGAAGAGAACGGTTTCTGACAAGTTGGACATGGTACTTTCTTAGCTTCTTTTGCTTTTCCGTTACAAAGGTGGCCTTCAAAATCGTCTCGCATGAAGAAAATCGACTTGCATATTTTACATTCAATCCTACCGTCACCGAGTTCTTTACAATTTACTTGTCCAATCCCCTCTGTATGGCCACAATGTGTCTTCCAAAATTTTACCGATATTGTGGATCCCATGTCGTTTTGAAAAGTCAGTTCCATCCTCGCTGGGCAAGCTCTACCCATTTTGCTGGTTACTATACCTTTGCTTTTGCAAGTGAATGATCGGTTGCAATTGTACGTTTTCTTACTTGTTCCATTTAACAATGGTCTCGCTCCCGAATCCATCGAGTATTGAGATTGTGTCTCGTCTTCAACTTGCTTCTTCCATTGCTCAAAATCTGCAACCTACTTGTGAGAAAGACGCGCTTGCAAATGAAAAAACCTACCTGCAGTAGAACTGAAAGTCAAATCTTCAAATTCGATTTTGACATTGTGATGGCCAACTAAATGCTGACGCAAATTTGCGGACGTTGGGAATTTCTCGCCGCAATTATCTTGAGGACAAATAAGTCTCATTCGTTTAGTCGGTGGTCTTCTTGATCTTCTAGTTCCTCTATTTGATGCTACACGAGAACCGTTATCACCAGTTTCGTGAATATTTTTTACATGTCTCTTCATAGACGATTCATACAAGAACTTTTTACCACAACTTCCACAATCCCATTTTGGCTCTATCAATCTTGGTTTCGCCGGTGGTAACGGCTCGACTTTATGAACATTACGTAAATGAGCGTATAGACATTTTCTCTTAGCAAGGAACTTATCACAAACAGAACATTTTATTCGTAGCTGTTCCATACCTGTCTCTCTACAAGACAAAAATTGAGGTTATTTTAATGGAAATTTTAGATTACACTAAAATATCCACTGCATTTTCATTAAATTACTTCAACTTGACACGTTTCGAAAGCACTGCACTTCCGCAAAAGTTTTTAGTAAATCTTTTTATGTTTGTTATTATTATATTCGTGATTTTGCTAGCGTATACTGGGTACCCACACGTATGTGTTACTATCTGGGCCCAATTGGAACATATTATTGTTGAACTTTTCAAACAACAACAATAATAATAATAACTGAAAACTCGTTTATTATCGTTAATTCGATTCCTATTATACCACATACGATAATCGTTATCGTAATAGAAACAATATGCACTGCCGTGCATAAACATTCTAACGATAGTAACACCAAACAACATTGTGCACCAAGTTTTTAATGATACTCTATAAATAAAGCTTCGATATTTTTTGCAGAACCATTAAATTTAAAGTTTATTTACAAAATTATTTTACATTACATTTGTTAGAACTCTATGGATTCTTCTTTAACTTTATAAGCCTCAGGGTCTTGGTCGATTTCAGCAGTGAGATAAGCAAAGGCTTCAGCGGAATTTTCGCCTATTTCACAATACTCTTCCTTAAGTTCTTCTTTTGGTACAATAATTTCACTTAGTTCTACAGATGTCGCCTCAAACTTAACAAGAGGTTCATTAATTGCAGTAAATATTTCTTCTGTCTTTACTTCAACAGGTCTAACAGTATTTTCTGTGGTAATGTTACTAGTTCCTGTTACTTTTGCACTATCTGAAACTTTTGGATCACGTTTATGAACACAATTAATGTGCACGAAGACGGAATACTTTCGGGTAAACGTTTTTTCGCAATGATCACATTTGAACGGTTTCCGACACGATTTCGTATGTTCCTCGAGAATATCGGCTTGTAAATACGATTTACTGCAAACTTTGCACTTAAACGGCTTGTCGTTTGTGTGATGAGTTAAGAGATGTCTGGTCAAGTTGTAGATGTGGGGAAATCGCTTCTTACAAGTATGACATTCGAATGGTTTTATCTTCAAGTGACAATGCAAATGTCTTCTCAAATTATACGTCGACGAGAACGTCTTCTCGCAATTTGGACATGGTATTTTGCTTTTCGCTTTTCCTTTACAAAGGTGTGCTTCGAAATGCGGCCGCATGAAGAAAATCTTCTTGCAGACTTCGCACTTAATTCTACCACCACCGAATTCGTTACAATTAACTCGTCCAATTTTATCCGTATGACCGCAATGTGTTTTCCAAAACTTTACTGATAACGTAGACTGCTCATCGTTCTCAAAGATTACTTCAATCCTTGATGGACAAGCCCTACCCATTTTGGTAGTTAAATAAGTTCGAATGTTTTTACTTTTGCCCCTTTTGGTGTACGATCGGTGACAATTGTACGTTTTTTTACTTGTTCCATTTATCAATGGTCTCAGACCTGTGTCCAGTGTGTAATGGGATTGCGTCTCCTGTTCAACTTGGTCTTTCCATTTTTTAAAATCTGGAATTTATCGAGTAAGACACTTGTGAAAAGCTTCGAACCAAAACACGTACCTGAAGTAGAATTAAAAGTCAAATCTTCAAATTCGATGTTAGTATCATGTTGTACCATCAAATGTTGACGCAAATTTACGTATTTTAAAAATTTTTCGCCGCAATCTTCTTGGGGACAAATCAGTCTATTTCCTGGAGTTAACACTCTCAGACAGCTTTTATTGTTCTTGTTTTCTGACGAAAAGCAAGATTTTATATGCCTCACTAGACATGTCTTGTACAGGAACTTTTTGTTACAATTTCCGCAATCAAACGCTGGATGTATCAATTCTGGTACCAATCGTTCGATTTTATGCACATTCCTCAAATGAACATAAACGCTTTTTCTCTGAGAAAATTCTTTATCACAAACAGAACATTTTATTTGTACTTGTTCCATATTTCTCACTAAAATAGACGAATATAAAGATTGAGGTTATTTTACAGGAAATCCTGGATTACATCGTTTATTAAATAACTCAATCTTCAACAAAAACAAACCATAGGAACAGGCATTAATATTGATGAGAATATCAAGAGACATAGAGCGACATCGACTGTTTGTTGTATTGAATAAACGTTAAGTAGTAGCAAATACCCACTAGATGGCGATACGCTGCCTGTATTTGGAAAACAATCTTCAAATCTGAATAATTCCCTAACGTCTTTCTACGAAACGTTTCAATTTCAAACTAATTTTATTTACGAAACAAACATTTTAGAATATAACTAAGTTCATATTACATATTATTGCAGCTTTATTAAGAATTTTAATTCATTATTTACAAAGGCTTCTTCGTTGACGTTAAAGGCCTTCTTCATTGATTTCAGCAATAGAATACGTTTTGCCAATTTCACTTAGTTCTACAGATGTCGCCTCAAACTTCACAAGTTCTTAATTGCAGTAAATATTTCTTCTTCCTTTACTTTAACCGGGTTCTTCTTTAGGAACAATACTTTCACATAGTTCTACAGATTTCATATCATATTTCACAAAAGGTTCAGTAATTGCAGTAAATATTTCTTCTTTCTTTACTTTAACAGGTTCTTCTTCAGGTACAATACTTTCACTTAGTTTTACAGACTTCTCCTCATACTTCAGAAGAGGTTCATCAATTATAGTTAATATTTCCTCTTTCTTTACTTTCGCAACAGGTCCGACAGTATTTTCTGTGCCCTGCTGATCATCATCAGCGACAAGACGTTTATTAGTTTTCTGATAAATATTTTTGGTTTCTGTTACCTCTAGATAATCGTCACATTCATTTCCAGAGTGTGATTTCATATGTTCGATCAACTGAAACTTGTGCGTGAACAGTTCGTTACATACATGACATTTTTCTGAAATTTCTGGATCATGTTTATGAACAGACTTAATGTGGATTATGAGGGAATATTTTGTTGCGTACGTTTTACTACATTGGTCACATCTAAAGGGTGTCTGACACGTCTTCATATGTTCTTCGAAAACATCAGCTTGCGAATACAACCTTTCGCATACTTTGCACATGTACGGCTGATCATATGTATGAATTAGGAGATGTCTGACGATGTCGTCTTCGTGGGGAAATAGCTTCTTACAATGACGACACTCGAAAGTTTTTCCCTTCAAATGCAGATATAAATGTCGCCTTAAATTAGCCCTTTTTGAAAATATTTTCTGGCAATTTGGACATGGTATTTTTTTAACTTTTTTTGCTTCCCCGTTACAAAGGTGCTTCTCAAAACGGTGACGCTTGAAAAACATCGTCTTGCACATTTCGCATTCAATTCTATCGCTGGATTCGTTACAATTCACTTGTCCAATTCTTTCTGTATGGCCGCAATGAGTTTTGCAGAACTTAACTGATATTGTGGATTGATTATCGTTGTGGATAATTACTTCTATCCTTGCTGGGCATGCTCTACCCGTTTTGGTAGTTAAACACGTTTCAATATTTTTGCTTTTGCGTTTTTTGATACAGCAATTGTATGTTCTTTTACTTGCTCCATTCAACAACTGCCTCGTTCCTGTATCCATTGAGTAATGAGATTGTGTCTCGTTTTCTACTTGCCTTTTCCATTTTTCAAAATCTACAATCGATTGAACACAAAAGAGCCCTCTCATGAGAAACGTCAAATAATAACCTACCTGCAGTTGAATTAAAAGTCAAATCTTCAAATTCAATGTTAACTTCATGTTGTGCTATTAGATGTTGACGTAAATTTACGTATTTCGGAAATGTTTCAAAGCAATTTTCTTGTGGGCAAAGTATGATTCGTCGATTATGATTACCATTATTACTCTGGTTTTCAGAAGAATGTACATTTTTTATATAATTCATTACAAATGGTTTTTATTGCAATTTCTACATTCACACTGAACTAATTTTGTCAACGGTTCAACTATATGTACATTACGTAAATGAATGCATTATTGTATTCTCGAGAGATCCGATCAATACTGATTGAAGTTGACATCTGTTCATCAAATACGACATAAGTTACATGTTATCCTTGCCGATACTGTCACGTAATAACGAACTTTACTTATCAAATTGAATGATGCCCTAAAGAAGAACCCCTTAACTTAATGGGATCATTCATATCAAAATCCTTCGATTAAGAAAACAAATATATTTGCAAAACAAATCCTCTTAGAATATAATTATAGTATTTTTAAACTTTAATTGTTCATTTTCGTTTATTACAATTCTACAATTTCTTCCTTAACTTCAGTGGTCTTATTTTTGACTTCGTCCACTTTACTACAGTAACTATAAGCAAATGCGTCAACTGTGTTTTCGCCTATTGCTTCTATAGGTTCTTCTTTAGCTACAGTAACTTCGCTTAATTCGATAGACTTGTTCTCACATTTTACACCAGGAGTATCAATTGAAGTAAAAGTTTCTTCTTCCTTAACTTCAACAGCAGGTTCAACTGTTTTTCTTGTCAACGACTCTATAGCGTTAGTTGAGGCTTTACTGGTTTTCTGGTAGGTGTTTACGCCTTTCGACACCTCCAGATAATCGTCCGAACAACTGCAATTCCTGTAGTCCTCGTTACAAACTACGCATTTAAAATCGCGATGAACTCGCGAATGAAACTTTAATTGGGATTGACACAAGACGATTCTGGAGCATGTTTGACACTTCAACATAAACTTGTCTTTGGTAGCAAATCGACCGTTCAGTGGGTCTACGATGTCTTTCGGATTTACAACCCTTAAATCCGTTGAATGATTATTAACACTGATCGACGGTTTACTACTTTTTTGATAAGTGTTCTTGCTTTTTGAAACTTCAATGTGACTATCAGAACAACTGCAATTCTTGTAATCCTTGTCGCAGACTACGCATTTGTACTCGCGGTGCTTTCGCAAGTGCATCTTCAACTGGGACTGACGCAGGATGATCCTGGAACATGTCTGGCACTTGAACATGAAATTGTCTCTCATATAAGGCTTTTTCAGGGAGTCACTGTAATGTCTTTCCGAATTCTCTAAACAGATGCATTCATGAGCAGGTCGGACGCAGAACAAACAATCTAACTTAGTGTGAGTTCTCATGTGTTGTCCGAGGCGAGACTTGTACAAGAAATGCTTGTTACATACGTGGCATTTCTCTAAACCACTGGTGTCCTTTTGATGGGTACATTTTACGTGAACCGAGAGGGTCTCTTTTCGCGTAAAAGTTTTCGAACACTGTTGACATTTGAACGGTTTCTTCCCCAGATGAGTTAGCATGTGTTTCTTCAAGGTGATGTTCAAGACGAAGCATTTGCCGCAGGTTTCGCACTTGAATGGTTTTTCGTTTTCGTGAACGGCCATGTGAACCTTCAGATAGTACCTGGTCGAGAACACCCTCGGACAGAGAAGGCATTTGTTAGTCTTTTCTTCGTGCGTGGTGAGATGCACCCTCAAAATTGACTTCACGCGAAACTGCCTCCCGCAATATTTACATTTGTGTGGTTTCTCGCCAGTGTGGCTGTACATGTGCGCCTTGAGGGTGTCAGAATACCTGTACGATTTCTCGCATATTTTGCATTTGAAACGTTTGCCACCCGTGTGGGTTTGCAAATGTTTGGCGATGTATGTGAGACTGAATCGTTTCTTGCATACTTTACATTCGACCGGTTTTTCCCCAGAATGGAGATACGAATGCTGTCGCAGACGGAATCTTGACGTGAACGTTTTCTGACAAATGGGGCACGAAATCTGTTTGGCCTTATCGTTGCAAATGTGGCTGTTGAAATGATGTCGCATAAAAAAGATGCCCTTGCAGACTTCACACTCGATTCTACCCTTGAGTTCGTTGGGGTCTGTTGTGGTCATAACCTGTACGGCTTTTTCGAAGGCACACTGGAAGGACGAGCCGTTCTCCTTCTTGGACATTTTCGATTTTCTTTAGCACTTTAAATAACAACGACAGTAATTATACATAATAACAGCTTAATTTTCTTAATCGTTAATTAATATGGTATTCAATTTACTTCTATAAATGTGAGATGAAGTAAAGTCTTCAAACTACCAGTTATTAAGTAATCATCTACTTCGTATATCGCAATGATTTATGATGAAGATAATCCTAATACAGCGGAAGTTAAACAACTGCAGGAGTACAAGTAATAACAACTCTTATTTATTAACAACAGTGGTTTATAGTGTATTGTAAACAATTTAAACGTGTAATTCGATACAGACTTTCTGCTGCATCGACTTCTCATACAGGACAATATAAAACAAGCATCTCAAGTTCAAAGTTATATGCCTACTAATATGAATCTATAATGGGATTCGAAAATACAAATAACTGCTTAATAAAACAAATTTATTTGCAAAATGAACCAACATCAAATATTATTTCAAAACTGTAGGCAAGTACAAATTTAAGGATTTTATTTCGTTAATTAGAACTCTGTGATTTCTTCTTTAACTCTAAAGGCCTTGGAGTCTTCATCGACTTCAGCAGCAATTTCGACGAAGTTTTCTTCAATTTTAAAATATTCTTGTTTGGGTTCTTCTTTCTGGATAATAATTTCCCTTGATTCGTCACTTGTCTCATATTTAATCACAGGTTCATTAACTGTTTCTTCTTTCTTAACATTAACACCAGATTCATTTGTTAACCCCTCATTAACATTGGTTAAAGATTTGCTACTTTTTCGATAAGTGTTTTTGCTTTTTGATACTGCCATATCATTTTCGGAGCAACTGCAATTTCTGAAATCCTCATTGCAAACTATACATTTATAATCCCGATGTACTCGCAAATGCACCTTAAGTTGGGATTTACGCAATATAATCCTGAAACACGTCTGGCACTTGATCAAAAAATTGTCTCTCGTTAAGGGATTCTTTTTCGGTTGGTCATATCCGGTGGTGTATTTGGAACAGACGCATTCTTCAGTCGATCTACCACAAAGCAAACAACCAAGTTGGCTATGCACTTTCATATGTTTCTCCAATCGAGACTTGAACATGAACCGCTTGTTGCATACGTGACATTTTTCAAAATTGATAGACTGATTTTCATGTGTATATTTTATATGGACTGAGAGGCAATCCTTTCTTGTAAATGCTTTCGCGCAATGGTCACATTTGAACGGTCTTTCTTCCAAATGGGTGTTGGTATGTCTATCCAAGGTGCTCTTCAGCGCGAAACATTTGTCACAGGTTTCGCACTTGAACGGTTTTTCGTTTTCGTGGATGGCCATGTGGGCCTTCAGGTTGTTACTGCTAGAACAGACTTTCGGGCACAAGATACATTCGTAAGCCTTCGAGTTTTCATGAGTGTTCAGGTGCATCCTCAGATTTGACATTACCCTAAACTCCTTTCCACAATGCTCACACTTGTGCGGTTTCTCTCCAGTGTGGACGTACATGTGCTCCTTGAGCGTATCAGCTTGTACGTACGATTTGTCGCACACGTTGCACTTGAACGGTTTATCGTCTGAGTGAATGAGGAGATGTTTCGTCATGTAATTTTTGTGGGGAAAACGCTTTTTGCAAATATGACATTCGAATGGTTTTTCTCCTGAGTGAACGCGCCAGTGTTGCTCTAAACGCGACTTGGACGAAAACATTTTGTGACAAATTTCACATGCTAAACGTCTAGGTTTCTGGTTGCAGAGGTGACTGTTGAAATGGCTGTTTTGGGTGAAGATTCTCTTGCATGTTTCGCACTCAATTCTGATCCTTTTGGTCGCACTCGGGTCCATTACCTCAACGGCTTTCACGAACGCCGATTGGAAAGATTCGTTTTTCGTGTTGGACATTTCGGAATTTTTTTAAAAATTCACTTTATAGTAATTGGAATTGTTCGTAAGGAATATAACACATATCTATATCTAATAAACAACCAATAACTTAGATTGTGGTAGTAAGCAAGGACTAGGGTTTGTCTCTGTTTTTGTGTACATACGTCACAAATTTGAATTCAACTGCGTCGATTTTGCAAGAGTCTCCTTAGTTATTTTAACTACTAATAACTATAAAAGAATCGTTCAATATTTGTAAAAATCAAACCAAAATTGAAAAGATCAAATTCATAAAGATATTTATTCAGGTAGACACTTATTTTCTTTAACAATGTTTATAACTCAAAGAATTTCTTCAACACTTAAATTCCTCTGATAGTGACTCTATGTTGGAAAGCTATCGTCATCTATTGGCAAATGTGAGGAACGGCTTGGATCAATAATTAAGCACTGGAACCCTTAAATGTACAGGTTTCTCTTTCATTGTTTGAAAATAAATCGATGAATGCTTAAGAAATATATAGTAATAAAAGATGAATAAACGTTTATTTATTTATCGAACCAACATGAGAAACAGGCTTTAGTATAAACAAACGTCAATTCGTAGGTGTCGTAAAACGATTAAAAAAAATAAACAGTACTTCGAAATTGGATGTTAATAACAACGACAAACAACTTTGATTTAAGTTCTTGCACTTTTTCTCTTCACGTAGGTACTAGGTACAAAATCTAACACAGTCTTCTGAAGTTCTTAGGATTCTTCTATAAATATTTTTCCATATTTAGCAGATTTCTCGTCAACATCGACATATTCCTCTTTTGGATTCAAAAATTCGAGTTCCACAGGTTCATCTTTTTCTTTAAACTCAACATGATCATACTCGGTTTTGATGATGGTTCCATCAACATCTATTTCTTTAAATACGACAGGATCATATTCGGTTTTGACGACGCCTCCATCAACATCGAGTTCATTTTTTGCAACACTAACAACGGACTTTTGATCTGTGTCATTAAACATATCAATTTTGCATATTCTAGCAGGTTCTTCCTTGATCTGATCATCTAAATCTGTGACAATTGCACGATTCTGAACACCACTGTCTTCAGTTTTAATACCTTTAGATTTTGAGTAGGTATTTCTGGTTTTCGATACTTCGCTATCGTCAATGTGATCTTCAGAACACTTACAATTCATATAATATTCTTTACAACTTAAACATAAAAAATTTGGATGGTTTGTAGAATGTCTCTGTAGCTGGGACTTGTGCAAAATAATCCTGGAACACGTTTGACACTGTAACATGAGATTTTGTTTGGAAAGGGGGTCTTCATTAAGGGCACTTTCTACATGGACTTCCATGTGCTTTTCTAGGCTGATTTTCGAAAGGAAAGACTTCCCGCACGTCTCGCATTTGAACATTTTCCGATATCGGTGGATGTCCATATGACGTTTCAAATTGTACTTAATGGAAAACCCTCGCTGACATATTCTACACCTGTAGGGTTTAGCAACCTTATGGCGAGCAAGGTGGATTCCCATGTTTACGGTGGATCGAAACACCTTCCCGCATAATCGACATTTGCAAGATTTTTCGTTTGTTAAAGGATTAACGCGAACTTCCGCATGAAGCATGCGATGTCTCGTGAGGTCGGATTTTTGAGCGAAACGCCGTTTGCAGATCTCGCATTCGCACAGTTTTTCCCCCGAATGGACCATCAAATGACGCTTTAAACGGGACTGTGATGAGAATCTTTTCTGGCAAACTATACACACAATATTTTTTAACACTTGCTCGCAACTATGGACTGTGAAGTTGTGGGTCCTGAAGAAGATTTTCTCGCAAACCTCGCATTCTATTCCGATTTTGTTGTACTCGACTGTTGTTTTTCTAATTTGAACAGCTTTTTCAAATTCAGATTGGAAGGACTCTTTAGACATTTTAAAACTTCTGCCTAACGTCCACAGAAACTTATAATTATAACAACCAACCTCTGCTAATTCAAATTTCAATTGCTGCCTTCAATCTGATGACTTTCCTGAAAATATTGAAACTTTATATATTATGATGTAGTGGCTGTCAGCTATTTAACTTTATTTTCAGTTGTACAACTGGAACAGGTATGCTGAATTACATCGACTCGACTTGAAAGTTACATCTAAACAAGGGCTAGTACTTGGGGTAGTAGTGGCTCTTCCACTGTAATATTTCTTAGGGTTTCAATTGTAAAAAATAGTCTTAATAACTAAATGCATGGTCACTTTTAATTGAACTCTTCAACTAGAATTTTACTTATTATTATTATAAAAAGGTAACAAGAATTATTTCATAGACTAATAATGAAAGTATGGACTAAAGAACAGTTGAAAACTCAAAAGGTTTTATATCAATTGGTTCTTCCTCGTTCTTAACAACGATTTGTTCTTCTTCCGTAAATATGTCGGGTTTCTTTTCCGTATCGGAAGATCCCTCGTCGAAGAAGTCGAAAGTTTCGTCGATTAGACAGAGCTTTTCGTCGACTTCAAGGCCGTTCTCGTCGAACAAAATAACGACACGTTCGTCCGTTTCGTCGACTCCGTTCGGCACTTTCGTCTTTCCCGCAGGCGAGGATTTCAAATGGACTTTCAAATGGGTTTTCAAACGACTTCGGTACTTAAAGATTTTACCGCACTTGGAACACTTGTGCAATTTCCGGGATCTCCTCTTGTCCGAGACAAGCGCGTTGAATGTGTCATCTTCCAATCCAACATTTGAAGCATAACTCTTCCCAGAGGTTTCGCCCGGGAACAGGGCCTGTTCTTGATGACCTTTCATGTGTCTATTCAAATAATATTCATGTGCGAACGCTTTCGAGCACACGCCACATTTGTAGCTTTTGCACCCTTGGTGAATGACGGTGTGCACCTGGTAATTGTAAACGTTGGAGAAAGTTTTGTTACAAATCTGGCATGTTCTGTTAGTTTTGTCGTCGATATCGTGAGCCAGCTTGTGCCTCATAAACGCATTGTATCTTATGTACGATTTGCCGCACAGTTCGCACAGTAAATGTTTACATGGATACTCGTTTGGAGAGAAAGGTTTCGTTTTGACTACATAATCAAACTTGACGTGAACCCTCGAATCGTGTTTCAATTGTTTTGTCTCTCTGTACTTGTGATTCTTGGTAGATTCGCTTGATTCAGCTGATAACCTGTCCATATCTTTACGTTAGCTGTAAGGACAAGGAGTGGACATGTCTTAAAGTACTATTGTTGTTTGCTACTTATTAAACAGTAATAGCAACATCAAGTAAGGTTATTTTAGTGGGTCAACAGACTATCATACCTGGTTTCTATTAGATACGTCGACTTCTCGACTATCCAAAAGCTGCAGGTTTTCAAATTTCATAAATGAGAACAAGCCAAAATATCAAAAATGTTACTTTATTTACGTTCTAACAACACATTACGAAATTATTACAATACTTTTAAGGGATAAATCATGAAATAACACAAGCGCAAATAGATTACTTATTAGCTCATTTCTTTTCTTCCTTCTTATTTTCAATTGGCCTGCTGGGCTGACCAGTCTGCTGTATGGGGATGGTTTTCTGGTCGGGTCCGCCGATTGCCTTTTTCGGGGCCGTCAGGGTCAAAACTCCGTCAGAAGACAGTCTGGATTGCACTTGATTAACGTCGTGACCCTCAGGTAGCACGTATTTCCTTACGAAATGTCTCGAGATGTACCCATGCTCGTCCTGTTTCTCCTCATGTTTTCCCTCCACGGTTAAAGTGTTTCCACTGGCGGTCACCTTTATTTCATCCGGTTTGAAATGTTGCACATCAAGACTGACCTGGAACTTGTCCTTATCGGCCGTGATGGTAGAGCCAGTGTCTCGGACGGCAGCTTGAGACCTCCATGGCCTGAAGTAGTTCTCTATGGGCCATCGGGCAACATGCGATTCCCACGGTAGCGTCAGAGGAGACAACAGATCTTCGGGATCAAGCCCTAGGCCGAACTGTTGGTCGACGATGCGCGATGGTCGTAGCGGATCCCACAATAAAATGGACATCTTCACTTGTTTGCTTCTCTAGACACAATACACTTTAGCACTTTCAACAATTTTTTTTTCGCTTTTGCTCACTTGTCACTTGTCAATTGACTACTGACAGCGCAGTCGAGCCGTAGGGTATTTATACAGAAGGAATGACTTCTGGAACGTTCTAGATATATCTACATATTTTGCGATTGAATTATGCATGGAATTCTAGATTTTTCTTTCCATTTGCAATGGTCTGTATTAAAGCCAATTAATTTCTAAATATATATGGTCGATCGTCGATTATAAATTAAATTGTACACATAAATAAATAGATAAATAAACTAAGCGGAACTTTCTTAATTCATAGTAACATTTTTATAGTACCGTTTAGTAAATAAATATAGGAATAGAAAACAACAAAAGTTATTTGTTAAATGTTTACCAAAAGTCTAATCTAATTTCTGGGTAGGTGTTTCTTCTTACATTGGATTGCGACTAAATAGATGAGATCAAATTAGTTACATATAAAAATATCAGTTTTAAAACTACAGATTAATAGGATAAAACATATATATGTTTAGTATCATCCCCCCTGAGTTAAAAAAATTAGAAATATTTTTTTATTAAAATATGTATAGTGACGCTGAAAAAGATAAAAATCGTATCCTTCAACTTCGGCATAAACTTTTGAACTAAACTATTACAAATATAGTAAATTTTACCCTACGACTAAATAATATACCAAGTAAACTCAAATAAATTTAGTCGGTTTAAGCGGTTGACTATTTATTATTTATTTTTAACAGCAGCGGAACTTATAGGTAAATACATAGCGATTAAAAACCACAAGGAAATCTGGTTAACTCCCCATAGGAAATTTGCGTTATTACCTAATTGCACTACTCATTACACATTTCTTTTTCGGCGTAAAGCTTTACATAAAAATAAATTATTGTAACAAACTGACGCACATTATGACTGTTTAATCTAGGTACAGCATGCTGCAAAAGACGTACGAAGATGTTTATTGTTTTATAAAAGCGCCGTTTTAAATATGATCGCGTTCCCGTGGATCCTGTTAATATTCCCGAAGTGAGTGTCTGATAAAAAGCTATTAAAAAGAACAGAACAATATGTGTTTAAAACATTTTCTAACAATTGTGTACATAGTTTTGTTGTGTTCTGTCGGAACGAAACCGATCTACGGTTCGCAGCAAAATAAAATTTATGAAAATGTGCGTGTGGTTAGTGTACAGTTGTCTGTTATTCCAGGGTCTCTTGTATCGAGAAGGGGTCAATTAGTTCCTACCCTACGATGGAACGCAGAAGGACTGGAACCGATTGTACGAAAAGGTAATCTGCACATTTGTCCCGGAAACTAAAGATTTCGACTCTCTAGTAAGCGTTTTTTCCAGAAGCTTGCGATAAAGATAAATTTCAAAACGAGTACAAATCTTTGAAGAAGAAAATTCGGTGCCAACCAAGAGAAACAGTAGTCGAACTCACTTTAAATAACGCAAATGTTAACGGAAGCGGTACAGAACTGAATGGATTGTCTAGCTCTAGAGTAGGTACACTTTATCTTATCCCTGGTCACTCATTAGAAAGAATTTTTTTTCAATTTACACTATGAAAATTATTAAAAGCCATATAACAATATGAACCAAATATTTAACTAATATCAACTATTGAGTTTTTTAAAGTGTTTCATATAGTAAAAAAAAAATCTAAATGACGACTATGTACGATTTCTAGATAATACCGAATGTGGTTGTTGTAAAAAGATGTGGAGGCTTGTGCGGTGGTCGTAAAACATGCCTTAGTTCAGAACAAAAATACAAAACGTTCTACGTAAAAACCATCAAAGACAACAGGGTGCACTGTTTGGGCGTACAAGTGGCTGAAGATGTTAAATGTCGTTGCGGGTGTGACAGGCGTGAGTCTCAATGTACCCTGTACCAGACCTATGACAAAAACAATTGCACCTGTACTTGTAAAAATAAGGTAAAAACAGCCAAAAATAATGTGAAGCAACATGTACCTATAAAATTTATTTGTTATTTTTAGACTGAAAAATTAAACTGCCTCAAGTACGGTGGAAGTAATAAACACTGGGATGATAAGACGTGTTCGTGTTCCTGCAGGAAAAGTCAGCCTTGTACGACAGGGACTGTCTGGAGTACGGAAGAATGCAGGTTGGTCATTGTAAAGTTTAATCAATTAGAAATGAGTAGACTGGCTTATTGGAAGATATTAATCATCATGCTTGCAACGATACTTTTTCCCACATTATAACTACGTCACACAAATTCTAAACATCTAATCACAATTTATAAATAAAAATGACAAATTATACTGTACTATATGTTTCATATGTTTTAATTCCAGATGCACTAAAGAAGAAATGTTAAACAGGATATGGTGATAATTCCAATCGTTATCAAATAGCTGGTCCAACGTCGTACGAGAAGATAATGGGACTTTACAAATTAACTTAAGGACTATTTATTATTTATTTACTTCTTTTTGTATTTAATAATTAAAAAATGTTTCAATAGTAAAACTTGAATGTTTTGTACAAATCCTTTATCAAACTACGTACTTTCTTCTAATGTCTAATTTATGCGAGTGTTTGTGTTGATGCCGAGTTTGTTTACAAATCATGAGTATTAGGTCCTGAAATTCGATGAATTATGTCCTGGCGGTTTGAACTCTGGTTCAGCTGTTTCCTTATGAGAATGCGCCGTGTTGTTTGGTACCGAAATATTTATGAGTTTGTTATTGTTATTATTATGGATTATAGATTGGGTTTTAAGTTACTGTGCCACAGCTAATATTATTAAAAGTTTAAATATTTTGTGAACAGTAAACAACGTGGTTAACGGATTAAGACACTGTACCAAAAAAACTTGTTACTAAAAAAGTAAAATATTCGTCATAACATCCCATCATCAGAGCATTTTTATGATGCACCTTTGGGGATTAGCTCGCCTAATTATTTCCCGCTTCAGGACATCGTATATCTAGGTAGGTAGATGTAACAGGATGCATGGGAATCGGCCACGTGCTATTCCACACTAACGACGACGCTGAGGCGTCGTTTTGAGCAAAAGGTGCATGCAATCTCCTACACGGATCCCATTCCAACATCCCCATCGTCCTCTCGCTTCCCCCCCCTCCCCACATTGTGGCACCTCCTCGTCCTGCTCCCTCGTATTAATCTATTACAAATTACGTCATTACAGCAAGCGATCAGGAAGTTATATATGAGATGTGTGCTCCGTGAACTGAACGAATGGAGCCACTCTCTCTGCAGTGAGGCTGTGATCGTTGATGCCGGTGCCAGCATCTGCCCTTTCTCACCGTTCTGACTCATCCACTTTTATCAGTAACACCAATAAATACTGTGGCTGTTTTATGTATGTATGTATGTATGTACCTTCCGGTTGCGATGTTTCTTTTACAGATTTAATGATAATAACTATTGTTTTTTATGACAAAATCTAATTGCTTCGAAACGGGTACATGAACAGATTTTAGGGGATTGCTGTAATTGGGTCATTTTTGTATTTGTATCTAACTCTTTTAAGAAAAGAAGTACAGCAGGTAATAACCTAAAGGGATTTTGCGGTTTTAAAAAAAACTCGGTTGTCTGTAAAGTCGGTTTACTGACGATAGTTGAACGTGACAACGTCATAAGAAAATACTGATGGAATGGTTTCATTTTTCAAAAGAAAATTTTAATTTTATTTGTTTGATAGATATTTTGTATGGATATAGAGAAGGAGGTAAATGGAAATGTATTATTGTATAGCAGCTGTCCACGCGGACGCATCGCTCACTCAAGTAGGAGAGAGACAGATGTCGAACGCTGCCGAACGCGGAGGCCGATTGTGCCTCTTTGTCGCTCGTTCCGCGCTCTCGCTTGCACTTCAAGCCTTAAATGGAACGCCTCAGAGCGAGGTAACGCCGCATGAGTCATGTTTTTTCGTGCATACAGCCCCGGCTCCGTCGAATTATAAGACGTTGTCACGTCAAAAATTAACATAGAAACCCTTAAGAACCATGTATATGCAATAAGTAAAATAACATAAGACTTCATCATCATCATAAGGTCGTCAGTCCTAAGACTGGTTGGACACGCACTCCTCTACTCCTCTTAACTCCTGTTTCTACTCCTAATATGTCTCCGACTAGATCTTCATGCCTGAGAAGGTGTCCTACCAACCTATCTCGCCTATTTCTTATTGACTTCCATAGATTCCTCTGTTCTTCTAATCTTTTCTTTTCCGCAGCGCCAACTTTCCATGTTTCGCATCCGTACAGCGCCGCGTTCCAAACATATACCCTTAACAATCTTTTTCGAATTTCTAAATAAACCTTTCACAAGTGACTTCTTTTTATTAAAGACGGCTCGACCCTGCGCTATCCTCTCTGCTTAATATCCCTACTACTCCTTCCGTCCTGACTTATCTGACTTTCTAGATACCTAAAATCAGCCACTTCTTATAATTTTTCCTCTCCTATCTTTATATTCGCTCATTCCCTACTTTTTCTTCCTTTGCATACCTGTATTTTTGTTTTACTTTTATTTATTTTCGAATAGTACTGTTCTTACTGTATTGATATTATGATTTAAACGATTAAACAACTTTTCTCTACCATCAATCCAAACATTTTTTTGGAAAAGATCAGGAACTCTTCAAAAGGGAATACAGAAAAGGCAAAATTCATTTAGAGGGCAGATTTTTGTGATTTTTAACAAACTCAATTACGTTGGGGCACTTTTTGTACTTGTCTTTTCCCGGCTGGTGTAATAAAAACGTAACGCGATACAGAAACCAGGAACGGTAACTTAGGGATAGAAAAAGACAGGACCACCCAAAGGACCAGGGGCTTGTTCGAGGGTCGGTTACAACGAGAAAAAAACCTGACGCTCGCTAGTTTTTACCTTCGTGCCCCCGCAAGGGCTTTTTGATCGACGTGCGCTCTGGCAGAAAAAACGCCGACGCTTCCCGAAATGTTTTCACATAAAACAAAGCAGAAATTAGACCGGCACGGGTAAATAAAAACGATGTTTTTTTTTCAGAAAAGCACAATTGGCAGACAGGTAACGATACAACGGTCCATGCAACACAAACATATGTTTATAAAATAATATTGGTCGCTCTGCTCATCGATTTATTTTACCCTAAAATTTAATAAACGGAAAATATGTATATTGGAAATCATAAATAAATATTTTCGCCTCGTAACGCATGTTATTCTATAGGTCAATCCATTTCCAATGAAAACAAAGGCAGCTGGTGCTCGATTTGATGTTATTAGTCAAATTAGAGGCTAATTAAAAAACGAATGCGGCAATCAGTTAAGTAAGCTTAATGCAGAATCTCCTGGAGCTTTTCCGTATTTTGACAAAAGAACACACTTTCATCACTTTTTGAGTTCACCCGAAACGATAAAGAAGAAACGTGATGACTAAATCAATATGTACAAACGCAAAAGGAGAATATAAAAATACATGCACCAAATTTGATTAATCATAAAGACTTACCAGTCTAGAAGCCGGATCGATGATGTCTGGTGTCTTCAGCAGATATATTTAATCCACAATCTGACAATCTGAAATACAAATACAAAAACAAATGAATTCTGCTGTCTTGCATACGGTACTAGATACTTAATAGAAGAAATGAAGCTTATTATAAGAGACTTTTAATACGCCAATAATATAATAGAAAGTTTTAAATAAATGCATAACACTTTTTGTTCTTTTGTTTTGGTATGTTGATGTCTCTATCGACTGTTTGATTGTTACAAATCCGCATTTTGTTTATTATTTCTATCAATTGTCTGTATTATTACACTTTCGCAGAGTTTGTTTGTTGTTTCTCTTTTATTTGTTTCTAATATCAACTGTTTGCAATTTGCTATGCAAAGTCGCTAGCAGATGCGGTTACATTTTCCGACCGAGCAAGTATCCAAGTACTTCCTCTCTCGAGATAATGGAGGTCCCACTTTTCATTCCCTCTTCCTCCGTCCTAACTTCACCTTCTTCATCGTGCAGTTCCCATCCACCTGCCGTGAACTAACTCGCTTGTTTCCCGCTGACAACGGCACTTACATTTAAATGATGATATCCCGGCGTCGTCTACCGGCGTCGTGGTGTCACTGCTGAAGGGCTAATGGAGTAAGCTGAGTGCATCTTTCCGTCACCGCCATTGTCTGCGGCGGCAGAGCATTAGAGAACGACGCCGTCGACGCCGACGACGATACCAAAGACCCCCGGTAACAAATGAAGAGCTTCTCGTCGTCGTGGACGTCGTCGACCGCCTTCTCGCACAAAATAAATTAACTTGTACATCTGATGGAAGTATTTACCTGCTGTCTATTATAGCCAACAGTATTAGGTATATCTCGAAATAATATCCGAGAAATTGAAATGAAGATTTCTTTTTTGAAAATCTCAGAAAACGATGGTGATATCTTCAATAATCTTACGTACAACTTTAATTACTAATCTTTGAAATTGTTTCTTCATCAACTTTGAATTGAAACTCAGCGATGGGCACGACTGATTTAACCGAGAAGTCAAAATTTCCTTGGGGGTGACCTTTATCCTTTTTTCTAAACCTGGACGTAGTTGCAAGTTGTTTCCTCGACCATAACCACTTCACCATTTTACGATCTACCAAGCATACCCAAGCACGTATGTTTCATTTCATTTTACTCCAATTGTTTTATTTCAAATGGATTAAAAAATTACACATTTACGATTTCGTTTATAGTTTAAATTGTCGAATTCCATTAAATTTTTTGGAGACGTTTTCGTTAGCTTTACTTAAAATTTACGTTTATCAATATGAATTAATCTTCACATTGTTTCTGGTAGGAAAAAGGATTACTGGTAGCGAATTGAAAGATTACATATTGTTATCTTATGATTATCCCATATTCAAAAACCATCTTCCATACTGCCCCATCCCGACCATAACCATTTCACCATTTTACGTTCTACCAAGCACACCCAAGCACGTATGTTTCATTTCATTTTACTCCAATTTTTTTATTTCAAATGGATTAAAAGATTACACATTTACGATTTCGTTTATAGTTTAAATTGTCGACTTCCATTAAATTTTTTAGAGACGTTTTCGTTAGCGTTACTTAAGATTTACGTTTAACAATATGAATTAATCTTCACATTGTTTCTGGTAGGAAAAAGGATTACTGATAGCGAATTGAAAGATTACATATTGTTATCTTATGATTATCCCATATTCAAAAACCATCTTCCATACTGCTCCCATATTCTGCAAGTCCCTTTCGTAATAATACATACATAATCCCCACCGACGTAACACGCATGTATGCACAATATTACGACGGCATCCACTCGTATCATCACGTCTGTTCGTCACGCCGATGACATGATGGCAATGATTGTATTATTGGCATCGAAGTCTGCGGGTCAGGCCTTTCGTCACGTCCGCGGGCTTAGGTGGACAACACCCTCCCCTCGATTCCATACCCTCCACAGAGCCCCGGTCAACAGACACGGCCCTCGTGTCACGCGTTCGTGTTTACCTTCCGCGGATCTGATGAGAGGACACAGATACATCGCATCACATGTCTCTAAACACACACGTGTGCACCACTTTTGTTACAAAAGGAATGGCAAAGGACGAAAAAGTAACGCGACGCTTTTTGAAGTGTGTCTACAGTAAATCCATCCTTAATAAGCCATAATCCTCCCGATGGTGTTTTGATTAATTGGATATTAGAAAGGGACAACAAAAAACCAGGTCCCGGTCTGCCCTAATAAGAAAAAGCTCGCAAAATAAATCAATAATTGGATCGCGAATGAGTAAATCCTAATTGTAAAGCAATAAATGTTCATTTGTTTTGTCTCGCTGTTATCGACTGTTTTCTCGCTACTTAGACAGAGCGAAAGGTCCGCTTTTTCGCATTAAAGAAGTTTGCGTAAGTTTCTAGGGAATTATTAATTTGCGTCGGCGGCAAAAAGAGCGCCACAGTCGACAATGGGACGTAATCCCTGGGGAAAGGCTGTGGCGGAAGGGTTGTTGCCTCGCTTAGTTTACAGAGGGATTTCGCCATTTACCGCCTCGATTCGAACGGGGATGGCGTCAAGACAGCATCAATTATAGCAGGTTCCCGAGTCGCGTCGCGACGCGCGTTGATATCAGCAAGGCGAAAGGAGTTCCAAGGATCCCGCGGCGAATGACGACGCCAATGCCGTTCACTTCGAGTGGTTTTTGATAAGTAATAAGCGGGGTGGAAGTTGTGCAGGCACGAAAATTTACTTTCAGTTTGCGGCATCGATTCCACTCAAAGCGAATAATTACTTGGTAATACTTTAATTCCTCCAACGGCATCAAGTTCCTTCATCATAACAACTCATACATACCTACACGTCCTGAACTTCAACCCCTATCCTATTTAATATAATAAACGGCCCATAGGTGCGTGAAACTGCTCCGCCCTCTTAATCTGATGGAAGGATTGCCAAAGAAGGAACCCATATCACCACTAAGTCGTTTATGCACGGTTACAATTATAAATATCTAAGTAAAGTAATTCTTGAAGCATCGATGGTCTCATCAAGAATTTCTTTAAGTCGAGTTTCAACATCCTGATGAAGCTTCATAAAAAGCGTTCCAATATTGAAGCTCCTAGTTTAGGGGTAACTAAAAAAAAAACATTATTCCTTTATCCTTAGAGAAGGAACGAATTAACGAACCAACCCCTTAGTAAATTAGTGGGGCACGATCAAGTAAATACCGCGTTTCCCATTTTGGAATACCTCATTCCCTTTTAATCCCATCCTTATCCGATAAACGACTGAAAACGTGTTGGAAGATGGGCAAATGTGTGAGTGGGTAAGTGTGCGTAATCATCCCCGCGGGGGGTGGGTATACTGCGGGGTATAAAGGAGAAAAATGTTCGGGGCAAAAGTGAAAAGATGCTGAAGCCGAAAAACTCGGGAGCAACATCTGAAACGACTCCAGGGTAATAAGTTATATGGAGTTACGCGACCGCCGCGTCGTAAATCCGTAGCAGATCTAGTGACCCGTGGTTGTAAAGTGTGGGAATTAGCAGGTGGGCGTAACGACGCGAGGGGCACAGTCTCGCGAACACGTCCTCCCACCAAACGAACCCGACCAATGGGAGAACAGCGTCGCGAGCGTCACTTTATGCTCCTTTGTCTAACTTCTCGCTTCAGCGTCGCTGACGACGCTCTTAAGCCAACAAGAAGAGAAGGTGGTGGTAGAAACTGTGACAGAAACGTCGCCGAAGTTTGAAAGCGGCCCGGGTCCCAGTTTTTTCAACCCCTGCACCACACGTTTCTTAAAAAGGCGAACAATACGATCCACTGACTGGAGCATCTAGAAAATCTTGCACATTTCCAGTCGGAAAATCCTTCATTATGAATCCTGCAAATTTTTTCGAGAATTAGCATCATAATCAATGACATAATTCGATTCTGCGGTGGCAGCTACCAGTTGTAATGACTCGAACAGAGGGTGGCGAAGTGATAGCGGAGAGGTAGATAGTTGCGCCGGGGTGGGGATGACATAGCGGCGGATAGGGGTGTGACAAAATGGCCTGAAAACCCCGCGAACGGTGGCTAGAAATTGGCCAGATAGTCGCGTTTCTGAAACACCAACAGCAGGTTAATACAAGGGGGTGCCGATTCGTTACTCGATATTTTACGGATCGCGTACAAGGACGCGAACAAATTCGAACTTTCGCTAGCAGGAAAATCGGCAAAATTAATTCGTCCATTTGGGAAAAACCGCGCTCTGGACAGGGCCGGAGAATGGGAACAGGTAATTACGAAATCTTAAAAAAAAAAACTGATAAAGTCAAAAGAAATATATTTTTTCATTCAGGCGACAGACTCCTTGACATTCCATGTAAGGTGTGTGGAGATAGAAGTTCGGGAAAGCATTACGGCATCTACAGCTGCGACGGTAAGAATCAGTTTACTTACGATTTTGATACAATTTTATTGGAACGCTATTTTACAGGATGTTCGGGTTTCTTCAAACGCAGCATTCACAGGAATCGAGTTTACACCTGCAAGGCAACAGGCGAAATGAAGGGACGATGTCCTGTCGACAAAACCCATCGGAACCAATGCAGAGCCTGCAGGCTGAACAAATGCTTTCAGGCCAGCATGAACAAAGACGGTAAGTCGAATCTTTGATTTTACTTATTTAAATGTATTGATGGTGGACGGATGCTATTGTATTGTCCAAAACAGTCTCCATAAACATTTTTTTCTCAAAACAGTTAGTCTATCTACAGATACACTACAGAAAATTCCATTTGTCGATAAAATGACATATACGAGGGTGGATTGATAAGTTTCCGGCCTGACCAAGAAAAACAAGGTTTTTAAAAATTTTTTTTTTTTATTTCTCAACATAATCTCCTCCAAGGCTGATACATTTCTCATAGCGGTGTTCCAGTCTATTAATGCCATCTCTATAGACTGATTCGTCAAGCTCCTCAAAATAACCATTTACAGCTTCGATTACTTCTTCATTGTCCGCAAATCTCTTACCGCCAAGCCATTTTTTGAGATTAGGGAACAGAAAATAGTCACTCGGGGCTAGGTCTGGAGAGTAAGGAGGGTGCGGCATCAATTCAAACTTTAGATCGTTGATTTTAGCCGTCGCAACGATTGACGTGTGCGCTGGTGCGTTATCGTGATGAAACAAGATTTTTTTCTTCGCCAGATGAGGTCGTTTAATTTTCACCTCGTGGCTCAAACGTTGCAATAAGTCTGCGTAGTATTGACCAGTGATAGTATTACCCTTTGCAAGGTAATCAATGTATATAATACCTCTTGCATCCCAAAAAACAGTAGCCATAACCTTGTTCGCCGAAAAAATTGTTTTTGCCTTCTTTGGAGTTGGTTCCCCTGGTCCAATCCACTGTTTAGACTGTTCTTTGGTTTCAGGAGTGTAGTGGTGGACCCACGTTTCGTCAACGGTTACGAATCGACGCAAAAATTCGCTTGGATTACGCTTATACAATGACAAATTTGCGGTAGAAATGTTTTTTCGAATCAATTTTTGGTCGACTGTTAGCAAACGCGGCACCCATCTTGCACAGAGCTTTTCCATATGCAAATGTTGGTGCAAAATATGTTGCACACGTTCATATGACATCTTACAGGTCTCAGCTATCTCACGCACTTTCAATCTGCGGTCTCCCAGCACTATTTGATGAATTTTTTCGATCATATCTGGAGTTGTGACCTCAACGGGGCGTCCTGAGCGAGGCCCATCAGAGGTGCTCACACGACCCTTTTTAAACTCGGAAACCCACTGCTTAACGGTTGAATATGACGGGGAGGATGTCCCCAGTGTTGAGTCCATCTCTTTTTTAATTTCCTTCGGCGTTAACCCCTTCAAATAAAAGTATTTGATGACAGCACGATTTTCCTGCTTTTCCATTTTTACGAAAACCACAGAGGCGTCTTGTTCAGCGTGCTGTCAAACCTACACTAGCAAGGAGATCGGGCTGAAACTATAGCTACAAGCTATCCAAGGATGGTACTATAGAATGTCACCTCAAGGTAGGCCTAGTGGCGTCATCTCTTGGTTAGGCCGGAAACTTATCAATCCACCCTCGTATGTTGTCAACTTTTGATCAGAAAACCATTATCTCGAAAACAGGACCGATCGCCGTCCACCGCGACGCTTGTAGGTGTCGCTTTGTGAACGTCGTCGCCAAACAAATTGGATCCTTTGTACTGCGAATAATACAATTAGCATCCCGCGGCGTTATGTGCCATTCGACCCGATAGACGTGATGGCACATCTCACGGCGTTGATATAAACCATCGTTGTCCTGATGCCAATGTATCAAAACAAGCATCCGAATCCTTGCTCGAACGCCCCTTGTGTTCGATCGAATAAAAAACAAATAGCTTGGGGCCACACTCGACGCATTATAGGTACAACATACATACACACACACGACAACAGATGCTATAGTTTTTGAAGTGTTTCCTGTGGCTACTGTAGGTATCTAACAAAAAAAAAACATTGCAACTGTAAAATGCCAAAACAAACATCATCTTAGATCTTGTAGTTAGCTGCACCTTCAGTGTAAATTTTTGTTTGATCTTTCCTCCCTGTTAGGAGTATTCAGCTTGACAAGAAGTTGTCATGGTGAAACTTCCATTCGTGATGCTTTTGCAAGTTTCGCGCTAGTTCGACCGCGAACACGACACAGGCCTCTGAAGTTTTGCGAAGTACAACTGCGACCAGACCAAGTCACGACTGTCTTCCTCCAACTTCGAAACTTCACGCCTTCCGCGTAATTGTTTTCACCCCCGGGCCGGCGAGAGAATTTCGCCACAGTTATAAGGCAAGAGGAGATCCGAGATTGCTTGTCAGGGATAAAATTGGAACTGTGTGCACTTCTAACTTATTCATATTGGGAGAGAAAGGGAGCTCGGCTTGAGGGGACGACGAACTTTTCGTCAAATGGGGATTTATTGATATCCATTATTTTCGACACTGAATGCTACGATGGCCCATTAAATTTTTTTGCTGCTTCAAGAAATATTTCTGAAAATAATTAGAAGCTCGTGAACGATATAGCCCTGAAGCCAAAAAACTTCGGAAATTGTCATCGTCAAAGATAGCTGAAATGCTCATGGAAAAATAAAACGGGAAAATCCTTTGACAACTTTGTTGCTTCCGGAAAACGTATCTATAGTAATGGTACCTACATGATAGCTCAATGATGTTCTATTTACGAATCCCCATTAAAACGCTCGAGTTCGGCAAGGATCAACGGAGATGACAGAATGTGCAAATCCCCATGAAAGAGGCGAACATACAGATACTCCCTGCACCCTATCAATTCCATTCGCATTTACTTCCACAACCCTCACATCACTACGCAACCCCCTTATCAATTTCATCGTGTTGATGTTAGAAATATTTAAGAACGTTTTTAATACGTAATCCTAAAATGTAGCATCGTGCTACAGATGGCGCTTACTGCGCCATTTGTAGTATTTTCTAAAACGCACTGTTAAGACAGCAGGTAAAGGTTGGTCTGTGTTCTGTCGGAGCTGCCTGCGACGCGCTGATGAGATCCAAAAAGATCGAAATCACGATCCGCGTCTGGCAGTTTCGACAGAATACAGACCACTTCGAATTATTTTATAACGTTTTTAACGTCCGTATCAAAATAATTTCGGGGTTGTTATTCGTTTTGGCTGATACTAGACATACAGTAAAACTGAAAAAATTAAGAGGCACGAAACGTTGAGGCTTCTGACGACTGAGATGGGGCTTTATTAACGAATTTGTCAAAAGTTGTGCTCGGCAGTCGACGTCAGTTGTTGGCGTGGAATTCACTTCACCCTCTCGCCGATTTTCACCTTTCGGCTTGGCAGGCGTGAGAGCGAAACATCCGTTTATGATTAATGCTCCTATTTGCCGGCAGCATCGGGGCCTCTTTAGACCCACGGACGGACAGACACAACAACGGCGGCTTTCCCCGAGCCCTTTACAGCATCACTCGCACGAATTTATTACCCTTTACAAGTTAACCTTCTAACGCTGCAAACGGGAAGCAAATAATCAAAAATTCCAAAAGCGAATATTAGTCTCACAATTTCTAAAGGAAATAATCCGGCGATTATCTAACTCGATCCGTGTATCTCATTCGCCGAAAACGCATCGAAATTTTTGAACACGGCGTCTTCGTAATTTTAATGCGAATGTAAAATAGACGAAGGACGAAAAATTAGAAGAAGTCGCTGATTTTCGGTATCTAGGAAGGATACAAAACAAAGGATAGCGCAGGGTGTCGAGCCGCCTTTAACAAAAAAAAAAAATGTATACGGTAGAGAAGGTTAAAAATGAAGAGATATTTGAAAGAATAGGCAGGAAGAGAGGTTACTAGGGATGTCAATAAGAAATAGGCCAGATGGGTTGATGGGACACCTTATCAAGCATCAAGGACTAAGTTAGAAACATTTTAGACGCAAAAACACATGAAGAGAAGAGTAGTGGTAGACCTAGATTAGATTAGTGTTCACAAATAGTTAAGGATGTGGGATATTCTATGTAGTTTTAGGGAAATGCGAAGATTAGCTCAGGATAGGATTAAAAAGAGTGAAGGTGCAATCAGTCTTGAGACTGACGACTTTGTGATGATGATGACTATAAATGTGAAATACTCGGTACCTATACATCTCTAGTTCAAATATATAATACTAAAGGTGCCGTGCGCCAAATCCCTCTTTCGTATAATATATTCAGGATTGAGAAGGGATGATTTCGGGACTTTGTACGATCGAAAAACGTTTAGGTATGCAAACGAGAACAAATCCAGAGCTAAATGGAATGAAACATGCGGTGAACAAAAACAACACAAAATCCTAATTACGTGGCATTTATTCGAGTTCGCGTTCCGTCTGGGAAAACACTCATCAACAGGAACGAAGGATGATATCGTCAGCACCGAGGCAAAATAATACCTAGTCGTAGCGGTCCGTCGAGTGCCCCTCCTACGTCTTTATTCCGCGATCTTCCCTGTCTCTGTTAAACTAATCACTTTTCTCCTCTACACTTGTTTATTTGCCACAAAAGGAGTTCCACCACGATGTGATTCAGTGGCCTTTTTATCAACGAAAGCAATAAGTAAACTAGAAATACAACCAACAACAACAACAGGAACATCTAAAAAGCGAATTAATAACAATAGTAACATCATCATGAATATTTTTATCAATCATCATGCGACAAATTTAAGCATTTTTATGGTTCGGCTCTTTACACCAACAGTTTTGGGGATTATTACATTCTGCGAAGTTATTCTTGATTTTCCTTGTGTACGTACTTCCCTGATGCTAAGGTGTGTATTTATTTACATTAGATACCTCATCATCATAAGGTTGTAAGTCCTAAGACTGGTTGGACACGACCTTAAACTGTTTCCTATCGTCAGCTAATCTTCGCATTTCCCTAAAACTACAACAACCACATCCTTAATTATTTGCGAACAGTAATCTAATCTAGGTCTACCTCTACCCCTCTTAGCTCCCGTTTCTGCCTCTAATATATTTCTGACTAACCCTTCACGCCTGAGGTGTCCTACCAACCTATCTCGCCTATTTGTTATTGACTTCCATACAGAAAAAGTAGGGAAAGAGCGAATATAAAGATAGGAGACGAAAAATCAGAAGAAGTGGCTGATTTTAGATACCTAGGAAGTCAGATAAGTGAGGATGGAAGGAGTAGTAGGGACATAAAGCAGAGGATAGCGCAGGGTCGTGTCGCCTTTAATAAAAAGAAGTCACTTCTATGCTCGCGAACGGTTAATTTAGAAATTCGAAAAAGGTTGTTAAAGGTATATGTTTGGAGCACGGTGTTGTACGGGTGCGAAATGTGGACAGTGGAAGCGGCGGAAAAGAAAAGGTTAGAAGTGTTCGAAATGTGGTGTTATAGGCGGTTGATGAGGATACCGTGGGTAGAAAAGGTTAGAAATGAAGAGGTATTGGAAAGAATAGGAGAACGGAGGACTCTATGGAAGTCAATAAAAAATAGACGAGATAGGTTGGTAGGACACCTTCTCAGGCATGAAGGTCTAGTCAGAGACATATTAGAGGCAGAAACAGGAGTTAGGAGGGGTAGAGGTAGACCTACATCAGACTACTGTTCGCAAATAGTTAAGAATGTGGGCTGTTCTAGTTTTAGGGAAATGCGAAGTTTAGCTCAGGATAGGAAAGAGTGGAGATACGTGTCCAACCAGTCTTAGGACTGATGACCTTATGATGATGATAATGATGATGAGAGTCCTCTGTTCTCCTATCCTTTCTAATACCTCTTCAGTAAATACCTACATAAAAACAATTATTCCAATCACTCTGTATTTTCATTAGTAACAAGTCTCTCCCTTTCGCATCAATACTTCCTGGATGTAACCCCCCGTATGCTATCTGCTGCTCTATTGTCTCCTAATGAATTCCGTTAACGCGGGTCCGCTACAAAGTGAAATAGTCTCGAGGCTGAATGTAGTATAGAGATACTAGTAGTTGGCACATGAACATTAATGAGTGGGGATGGAAACGGGAACAGCTGGTTGTTTCGCAGGAATCGAACGTAAAACGCTTTTCCAATCGACCACCCTTCCGAACAGAGGCAATCATATTGTGACACGTCCACGCTGTACGCCAAGTTAGACCACAGATCATCGTCAACCATCATAGAGACACCCTGCTGCACGAAAACGAACCAAGAAAATGACATAAAACGAGATTACGGGAACTCCAGGATGGTATATTTATTCTCCATGATAAGGATAAAATTATGATCCATCACAAAATATGATCTTCGGTGTCATTCACACTGGAAAGAGTTCTTTTGTTTTTATGTCCTGTCGACTCCAAAATAAGGACATTTCGACCTTAAGTGGATTGTGTACCTACGGGTCTGATTAGCGATGCAATTCTTTCGAAATTTCGATCTCAATCCTGTAACTACCCCTCGATGTCGACGTCATTCGGCCAAAAGCTCATCGGATAAATTCGAAAAGCTCGCATAAGTAAATCGGCGGCGAGAGCGCTTGCATGTGTGAACTTTACATGGATCGGTGTTCGGGTGAGGATAATCCTTCGTAATCCTGTCATCGGATACTGCCATGTCATTCTGTCAGGGCAACGAGCTGACCGAGGAGGGTCAGATCGAAATTCGCCCACGTGTTGGTCCATGTCACCATTTTCCACCCTCGACATCCTTCGGGATACATTATTGGCATTTTTTTTTTTATGTATTTGTTTCTTTGATTACGAAAAATCGAATGTCTTACAAAATTATAGGTCGAAACTGCCCACATCTGAATTTCTGCTTGATACTGAGTGTTCTACATAACACGTTTGGTAGAAAAAAAAGCTAGGGATGTTTTAACAGTTGAAATTGTATTCATAAATCGATTGTTTTGGGTATCAGAACTGACGAAATTTAAATATTCTTTTTTTTTTTTTGGCGTTTTGTTTGCAAAAACATGATCGTTCTCGTTCTAAATACCCCATCAGAGGCGTTTAAAAGATTACGAAGCTAGAAAGGATCGCAAATCCTCCCTATATACATACATCACGGATCCTTTTAAAAAAGAGGCACGACGACGCCGTTGCTGTAACGACGTCGCTACGCTGAAAGAAAGGGAGAAAAACGACGCTGTTTAACTTGAGCTCGGGCGAATGATACGGGCTTTTCGGGAGAATTTAAAATCTTAATCACCTCCCTTTTTGTCCGCTCGTTGGGCCATGCACGTGTAAGCTCTGCGAAAAACGCTTTTACATTATTACTCTGGGGCTTTTCCCGGTTTCTTTTTTTTCCTTTCAAATAACGAATTATTCAAAGCCTTCATTACCGTCGCTCTTATTAATCAATCCCGACACACAACACAGTAAATTATCCTATTATTCCCTGTTTTAATAATAATAAGAAAAATACAACCCATAACATTTTTGTGATAATAAATAACAATTGAACGACTTTTTTCACCCATTCAGTGCGTACCTAAGTACCTTTATTACAACAAAGTCGTATCGATTGTTTGACGTTCGTCGACTGTTTAAAAGAGAGTAAAAGATCACCGGTGTCTGTCGAATAAATGGGCCATCGAGGGCGGCGTGGGAACTCCAACATTATGTCGACAAATGACGGTGTCAAGAGCCACAACATTCGCGAAGATCTAAAGAGGGTGCCATGGTTACGTCATAAAGTAAGGATCACAACCAGATATTGCTTGCTAGTGCCCAAGTGAATTGTCAAGAAGTTTAATGCATAGATACAATCCCAAAATCTCTCCACATGATTCGCAAAACAAATGCAAACGAATGAATTAATTTTTGTATTTATTTTCAGCTGTTCAACACGAAAGAGGTCCCAGAAAACCCAAGATTCATACGAATTCTCATGGTCAACCGCAAATGACCCCGTCCCCGACGTCCTCTGGTATTTCCTCATTGGTAAACGACCACAAAGTAACCATGGCAAGTTCGTTTCACTTCCCGCCATCCCTGTTTGGAACACCACCTAACCCCAAGGCTCTAGGTTTGCCAACTTCGATAACGAATCCAAGACTTTCGGTCGATACGATGCCACCACCGATTTTCCATCCTCAAGCCCTTCCTCCGCCACCAGGACTCCTACAGATCCTCATGTCAGCGGAGAAGTGTCAGGTAAATTTTCGAAACCAACTTTACTTTCGGTTCATTCCGAAACAAAAACGGTTTCGTATTGTTTAAAGGAATGGGTATGGGGCGCAAAATTACCCTCAGAGGTCGACTGTAACTCACAATCATCCCTCAGCAGCAGAACGTTTATATCGATGGCTCAGCCCAGTCCTTCGCTTTCGCTACCATTGACACCCACTTGGGAAATTTTACAGGTAAGTTAATTAAATAAATAACTAATTTTGGACAATATCGTCTACGTAATAAACATAGAATGTACAAAATATTAAAAAAGAGAACGTACAATCGACGTAACTGTCTTTTGTTTCCCTTAACTACAGTCATATGTTTAATATTCGTTGTTGTTAGTACCCATAAGTATACAAAATCAAACAACACACTGTTACATTGTCGAAGAATAACAAAACAAAATCGGAGAAAAGCCTTCTATGCATCTATGGATCTATGCGGCCAATATGGCACTGGCGGTAAATTATGATAATAAAATAATGTATAAACAAAACCATTTATTTTCGAGTGTGTAAATTATTAGGAATATGTTTATACTTTATAATGCACCAATAAAACTGCACTAGCGTTTAGAAAAAAAAAATGGGAGATTTGTTCAAACAATATCAAACACTGGAGAGGGTGACTTTTGTTTTTGTTAAAAGCCACGTGGTTTCGATATCAATTCTCCACCCTTCTGAAAGTTAATTTGCTGTGGTAGAAGTAGGAGTGGTAATGTTACATTGACTTGTTGGCATTCGCGACTACCAACCGTCTGTCGTCAGTCGTCAGGCGCACAAAAGCCACCCCTTGTGTAAAGCCAACCAACCCTTACTCGACCTGTCGCTTTTTCCCAAAAGACCACCCCCTATACACTAGTCCTTTATAACTATTTCGATGATCTTTAAAAAACTGCCAGTTTTTTTTCCAAAAACAAATTTAAATACTTTCTCCCAAAACATAACCACCCCAAAGACTAGTTTTTTATAACAATTTTGATGACTGAAAAAAAAAACAAAACTGTCAGTTTTTTCCAAACAACTTCACTAATTGTTTAAATCGGAATAAGTTAATCAGACACTAGTATTTTTAATTATCAACTGGTTGATTGCAAATAATCAAGTAACAATTTATTAGAATTTATTGATCAGTTAGTTGATCAATTAAATAACCACGTGCCCGAAGTGCTGATTTGTATTAAAATTTAATAAATCATTTATTCCAGAAATTGTATTTCTAAACAATACTTTGCATCAGACGATGAATTAAAAAACAATTGCATTTTTACTAGAACAAAAATTAACGATAGATATTTTCCTGCATCCCAATAACGCTTTAATAAACAGTTGAACGCCTTTAATTGTTTGTTGTTTTGTTTTACTATTAATAGTTTGGTTTACAACTCGCCGTTTCTTATCTTTTTACTGTCGCAAATCTCCGAATAAAACAAAAATAATCAATTCCTCAAAGAATAACAATAAAGGAGATTATAGTTTGGTGTTGATATAATATCCAAAATTACATTGGACGAAACAAGTTAGTAGTGGTGATTAGGGATGATGAGTGGCTTTTATTTATTTTACCCCAAGCTCTTTTACTAATAAATAATTAATAATTAGTACAGCCTGCATCAATTTACCACAATGTTCACCACCAATTCGTTACTTCATAAATAAATAAATAACGTTTTTTTGTAAAACAAAGTTTAATTTTTCGTGAAAGCCCCTGTAGATATAAGTACCTATCAACCGGATCGCAAACCTTAGATCGTCAAAATTGTCAATAATAAAATGAGAAAATTTTTAAAAATTGCAAATCCATTTACCGCTTAGTTTAATTTTTATTTTGATCAAAAAATACGTTAACTTTTTTGAGCCCCTGATGTGAATGGGAACGCCACCCCCAGTGCAAATCAAAATTAACCAACCTGCGCAAGAAAAAATATTTGTACCTATACATACCTATAACATAGTAACGAATGAAATGCCTTGCTTTACCTAATAAAATAACAATATAATTTATTTGGTAAAAAAATGCGTTTAATTCACTTTGGAAATAAATCCATACATGGGGAATACGACCATAGGGACTGAAATGCAATGCATAATAAATACGCAAGAAAATGGCGAATGTTTTTCGAGCATGCACAACACCCATTTTCAAAATCTGCGAACATCCCCTTATTACTTCGATTAACATGTCTTGTAATACATCAAAAACGAGTGGAATACCTTTTGTGACATGTTACAATCAAAATTAGAAAAACCTAGATAAAACACATAAATTTATAATAAATGTAAAATTAACAATCACGAGGAACACCACGCTGTCCTTTGTACCTACGCAGTCATTGGACATGATAAAAAAATATATCAAAAAGCTCTTACCTTTTCCGACAATCAGAACGACAGATACGAACTAATTCGACCGTTTATTCTTATTTCTTTATTAATCGGACTCGATAAATACTTTTCCACTATTTATGTATTTTGTACCCCGATCGCGAAAGCAACGCACTCCCGACAAAACTCCAGTCTCGATTGCAACTAAGTCAGGCGTATTAGACGAATTCACGCACTATGATGCGACACGTGATAGTTCCACCACCGAAAACTACAGAGGCATACAGGTAAAAACATGGGATAAGTTTCTATGGATTACATGGGGTCTATCTGTACTAAACTATGCCCATGGTGGATCCATTATCTGCAACAAAACAACAATAGAAAATAAACATATGAAGGGTTGTTTGCAAAATTTGTAAAATTTTAAATTTAATACGTATAATGCGTACAGTATCGTTTTGGGGAAGGTTGAATGTCGTGATTAGGATAGGGAAGACTTTGCGTACAGCATCTTTTTAGGGAAGGTTAAATGTCGTCGTCAGGGTAGTGACTAGGGAAGAATACAAACCTGTACAAAAGTTATATACATAATATAATAACTCATAAACCAGCGAATAATTGTATTAAAAAGTGATAAACTTTATATTTTGTTACGTCAAAATTTTCTTATTTAACAAAAATTAGAACTACTAATTAACGTTTACTATACATTATCTAAAGTTGATTTAACGCCAAAACGAATTGTAACATTTAATTATAGTGGACAAGCTTTCCCATTGGTTTTAATTAAAATTTTATTTTGTTTAATAACTAGAAAAGCTAATCTACACAAACGGTTCTGCTTGTTCAACATTTACCTCCTATCGAACTAGATAATTAATTATGTACATACGTATTAACTAATTAATTTACCTGTCTCAAAAAAAAATCGAGAATACACATGAGAGATCTATTTGTGGATGTGGATAGATAACGCAAAATCAAAAAATAAATTAGCTGTTCTCGTTTTTTTTTTTTTTGGAAAATTATAAAATTCTTAGTTTTGTTTCGTTTTCTTGTTGAGTAAATAACTGATATCCTAACAGTGCAAATAAAAAATCCAAAATTCCGAAGAGAAAACACAGATTAGATAAAAAATATAGTGTTTATATTAAATAGGGATGGTATAGTTAGGATTTTATATAGGGTTGGGGATAAGAACTTACAACCACTCACACGTTTTTAATTTTGAAAAAATCATTACTGGTTCAAAACCCACTTTTTCTGCAACTACATCTTCATAATTATATAGTAGCTAATACTTTCGTTAATATTATCGTTTATAATAGGAGATACCTATAACCTACTGTTAGTTTTTCATCCTTTTTACACAAAAGGAACCTTGGGTTTTTTAATTAATGGCGGCAGTTAATTGTACATGTAATAAAGATTCGAACATTCGTAATCGTCAGTTCTTTTGCTAATTAAATTTTCTTTCAATTAATTTAAGTCAATGTATTAAGCTTTTGTATGATTTTGTTTACATTACAAGAACTATCAAACTTGACATTTGTTGATGGTTATTTCGGACCATTAATCTTGTAAACTATCCCTTTAATGCTAAAAATGAGATATTTATGAAGATGCATGAATGTTAATAGCAGTTATATTATTTATTAAAAAAATTGATTAAAACTTTTGGTGGAGGCGCCGGGACAATTTAAGATAAATGCTATAATTGACTTATAATACTCGTTTCACTGGAGCAGATTGATGAATTTTTATCTTTAGATTATACTTTTTCATTCAGATGCAGTTTGAGATGCTAATTTACATTTATTTTTACAATAAACTAAACTTCAATTCGTGATATAATGATATAGACAACCATTCATACAGCAAATTTTACAACTCTCTAAATAAAACTACAAACAAAACTAGAAGACGATTTTTCTTACAAAATTAGTATTTTTACGTGAAACTAGACTATTCTCGAGGAAACCACAGAAATAATTAACTAATTAATAATATTTTCAAAGTTATCTTCTCGTAAAATTTAGTTGAAAAGCTTTATACGCATTCTTTTGAGCTGCTAAAAAGGTATTCAGTTACTAATTACTAATGTTTAGTTAATTTTGATTGTAAACTATTATGTTAATACCGAAAATAAGCGATTCATAGACATACACAAACATTAATTATCAATTAAAATAAATTTATTGAAAATTTTGGTGGAGGCGCTGGGACAATTAAAACAAAAGCTATAATTGAGCTATAATTTCCGTTTCATTGAAGTAAACTGGTGAATATTCATCTTTAAATTACGTTTCCTTCATGTAGGTGCTGTTAGGGACGCTGATTTATCTTATTTATTCATTTAAACTATAATTTGTAATAGGTATAATGTATAGGCAACCAAACATACAGCAATTGCTATAACTAATGAAGTAACTACAAAGAGTGTAAGAAAAGGGTTTTCTCACGTGGTACTGAATACTATTTGCGAATAAACCATAAAATATTATGAGGAAATAAATAATTAATTAATTATGACGTTAATGAACTAATTACGTGTCAAAAATCATCGACACCATATGAAACTAATTTTTCTACCCCTCGGGAACCGAATTGTTTTTTTTTTGGATAAAAGATACCCTATGTTCTTTTTCATAATAATAACAGAACTTTGTCTGGTGATTAATCCTTGTTAACACCGAGAAACTACAACTCAGAAATTACCATTAGAAATTCCGAAATCTTTAACAAGTTCAAGCTAGCGGTTCTGATTGACAAAATTAAAAACTTCTACATGTTAAGAGAACTGAATTCAATTGTTTTTCTCACCCATGGGATAAGAGGGATAAGTACTCCATGAACTTAAAGTATCACGTAATTTTGAAATTTGCAATTAAATTTGATATCCCACTTGAAATACATGCTGTATTATTTTTAAATTTGAACCGACTGCCCATCTTGGACCCCAATTACAAATACCTAAGGTCTATTTAGGAAACAACAGCAAGACTTCTTTTTATGGCTGTACGATGGGTCCGATGTCTACCACCATTTCAAACCCTGAGCAAAAACGACCAGCTCCTTCTTTTACAAGAATCCTGGAAGGACTTATTTCTACTTCATCTCGCGCAATGGTCGGTTCCATGGGACCTTTCCGTTTTACTTACATGTCCCCAAGCATGCGAACGTCTACCCACGGATGCCCACACCGCAATCGAGATCAAAACTATACAGGTATGGTAAAAAAATAATAAGTACCTATTGTATTTATATATATATTTTTATCCCATCGAAGGAAATCCTGTGCAGATTTAGACAGATATCACCGGATGTGAGTGAATGTGGATGCATGAAAGCAGTATTACTCTTTACACCAGGTAAACCATATTTAAATATCGATTTATTTAAAATAAATGCTACTCAATATATAGGTACATTGTACAAAGGTTTACTTGTTTATTTAGAAACGGCAGGTTTAATGGATGTGCAACCTGTTGAAATGTTACAAGATCAGGCGCAATGCATCCTTGGGGATTACGTAAGGACCAGATATCCTAGACAACCTACCAGATTTGGTCGATTACTTTTGCTGGTGCCCAGTTTAAGGGCAATACGTTCGATAACGGTTGAATTGTTATTTTTTAAAGATACCATTGGAGAAGTACCGATAACCCAGCTGCTGGGAGACATGTACCAGATGGAAAAATACACGAGTTTACCATAAATTTCATAGTTTCGTTACCATTTAATGTCATCATATTCGATTCGGTCTGTTTTTGTGTTAACTGTGATAGTAGATTAATAAAATAATTGTAAAGAGAATGTACTAATAACTAATTGTATAAAAAATAATTAAATATATATAGTGCATAGGTATAAATATCGAATATTGGATTATTTCTATAATTTCCTATCTATCAGAGTGGGTAAATTTGTATTTTATGACATACGATTTTGATTTAATACTTAATATTTTATTACTTTGTGACATAGTTAAATAAAATACAAAAAATATCCGCAATCGAATGGACGAAGTATCCCAGGATAGAATCCCAAGGTGCAAGATGACCCTAGCTAACGAGAATAGTAAGTTTGAATTTATTTAATCCATTATCATATTAAACCAGTGTTTCGCAATTAAAAAAATCTTTTTTAATTATTAAAGTACTATTAAAATGTAAGAAGAGACCTAAAACTTTATTTAAGACAAGAGTATTTATGTGTTAGAAAATTTCCATTACATGATATTCATTAGACTTTTTGGTACGAGTTGATATTTTGACGTCACCTATGATAACACCCTTTTTCAAAATTCTTTGTGGTATTTCAATGCATATACTAGCGGGGCATGTTTGAGGTCTTTTTTTCTTCTGGTACTGTACACTGGTCTTGTTATTTGCAGTAGTTGGGCGAACTTTGTTGGTAGAATTTCGATCGAACCGTTCAGAGTATGCTTTCCGTTGTTGTTTTGTTGTTTTATCCTGATGTTGCGATTTTTTTCTCTTGGTCACGTCTTGCAACCACCTCGTGAATATCTTTTCGTTTTCTTCGATTCTTCTGCGCCTGTTTTCTTCGATAATACGGCTCTCTTCTATTTTGAGTTTTTCTTGTAACGCTTTCCTTTTTCTGGCCTCCTGCATGTCTTTGGAGCTCATACCGTATTCTGAACGTTTTCCTGTGTAGACAGGTAACTTTTGCTGTTGCTTGAATTCGTTTTGTTCGCAACAGTAACGCTTTCGAAGTCTCAGTAATGGACAGCATGCAGGTGTTGGAGTTTTATGTTTCATTATTTCTTCCACACTGTCAAATCTGTCTATGCAATGATCTCTGCAAATTATTCGATGTGGCGATGTTTGTTTGGCCGGTTTCTCACCCTTTTGAAGATCGATTCTGATGTCAGAGTGGTCACTTTTTTGAACTTCTTCAGCCTCGAGAGTCACAAAAGGCCCTTCTTCTTCATTATCTTCAATTTCGTCGAAGCCATTGAGAGTATCCACGCTGTTATCTTCAGAAGTTACGTCTTCTTGAGTGAAGACATCGTCCTTTATAGAACTTCCAAGATTCACTGACGGACATCGTTCGTCACAGTTATTTGCGTCGATTTCCGTCATTTGTTTAGAACTATCGTCACTATTGTCGTCTTTGTTTTCAATTATCTTTTCAGATATTTCACTATCGCTGCTAACGTTTTCTTCTTGGATGTTAAGATTGATTTGTAGTTTCGCTTCCAAAAGAGCTGTCTCTTCAGTTTCTTCATGAGGACATTCTTCTATTACAGTATTTTGAGTGTTTTCTTCGCTTTCCACACTACTTACGTCCAGAAGGGTTGAATCTGCTTCGTAGTAAGTAAAATCATCTTTGAACTTTACTGTGAATCTTTTAGTTTCGGAAAGAACTTCGTTTGAAAGAGCTTCATTTGCAGTTTTAATTTTAGCCTTTATATCGTAAGGGGACGAGGCAGGTTGTAAAACTAAAAGGTATTACATTGCAGATAACCAATTGTGTTTAATCGATAACGAAAGCGTAATTTTACAATTAAATGATTTTAGAACTTACAAAAGCAATCTGAATCGTCTTCGTCAATTTGAATTTGGCTTTCTGAAGTTCCATTTTGTCTATCCATACTTCATTAAATTATATTTTCGAATACCCTTTCAAATTTTGAATTATTCCCTCCGACTTTATTCTTTTACCTTGCGGCAAACACAGGGGTGCAAACGTAACGATTTATAAACACCCCTCAAGACATTAATTACTTTCGAATTAAAACGCCAAAAATTATTTTTAAGGAAATCTTATCACTTAAATTAAAGAATACGCGACTTATTCTATTCATAATGCTAGTTTTTCATTTTTAAATTTTTAAACTTGGCGCTCTTTGGTATTGTCACCTGGTGGTAAATACTTGTAATAGCTATAATCGACATAACCTCAATTTTTTACTGAAGTTAATAAGTATTAAAATATAATAATCTACTGTTTATAATCAATTACTTATTAAAAATTAATCTAATGGAGATAAAGGTACTTAAAAGTAAACAGCTGTGATATTTATGAAAAGTATTAAGGGAGTAACAGATAGGTTATCGTCTGGTATATGTTAGGTGTTTTCTACCTTTAAAGATGGGAAAGGGGTTGCTTTCATTAATATTATTGTTAAATATTGTATATAAGGGTTATTCTGCGTTTACTGATGACGATTCATGTCAATCTTATGCAGGTGGAACTGTTTATCCTATTGGATCAAATCCAGAAAAAACAGAACATAAACTTCAATGGACTAAAGCAGTTAGTGAGTATTTTTACTTTTTAAAAGTTCATAAACCATTTTATTAACTAAACATTTTAAGTTTCAAAACCTGCCCCGTTTTGGGAAAGTACAGCAGTTGTTAATGGAGAATTTGTTCAACTGAAGTTGTCTGATTATGCTAACAAATACTTGGTATTCTTCTTTTACCCCCTGGATTTGTAAGTTACATTCTAAATGATTGATATAAAGCTTAGTTTTCATTCTTATTGTTTCAGTACGTTTGTGTGCCCCACTGAAATTCTAGCATTCAGTGACAGAATTGATGAATTTAGAAAAATAAATACAGAGGTTGTAGCTTGTTCAGTTGATTCACATTTCACTCACCTTGCATGGATAAATACTCCACGCAAGGAGGGTGGTCTAGGCAAAATCAACATTCCCCTTCTATCTGATCTAAACCACAATATCAGTAAAGATTATGGAGTATTTTTAGAGGACGTGGGACATACTTTAAGGTAAACATTTTATCAATCTATCACAACTTATCAGTTTAATTATATAATGACTGATTGATATTTGTATTTCACATTGTAGTTATTGAATTGGGAAAAAATATGATTTCATTTTGAAAATAAACTGGGTTTTTATAATTAGGGATTTTTGTTAATTTTAGGGGGTTGTTTATTATAGACAGAAAAGGTATTTTAAGACAAATAACTATGAATGATCTTCCTGTGGGTAGAAGTGTTGATGAAACACTCAGATTAGTACAGGCCTTTCAGTATACTGATAAGCATGGTGAAGTGTGTCCAGCAGGGTGGAAACCCGGTCAAGATACTGTAAGAACCCCACGATTTTCCTTTTTAAAGAATTATTTCATAATTTATTGTTGCTTTTACAGATAATTCCTAATCCTGTGGAAAAGAAGAAATATTTCGAAAATCATTAATAAATGGCTCTATTTCCTACCTGCCTGTCTTTCTCAGTGCCACAACATTGACAATTTTTAAGCATCACAACTTATGATTATTTCTTTTAATTTTTAAGGACTGATTTTGCATTCCTTCTTTATGTAATAATGTTTAAATTGGATTTCGTTTCAATGTTTCAATTGATAATTAAATGTATAATGTCTTTTAATACTTGTATTTTTATAAATAAAAAGATATTTTTAAAGTAGGGCGAACTTTG